CGGGGCTTCGTGGCCCCAGGTCGTAAATTAACACCTGTGGCTGTAAATTACCAGATAAATCTGGGCTGGGGTCGGCAGCAAGATAGATGAGACATAAATCTGCAGCGGCAGCAGCTCCCCAGGGGAAGCCCTGAGCCTCAGGAGCAGTCAGGGCTGGGTGGGGGGAGAGAACAGACAGGGACAAAGGAGGAGAAAGAGTTTCTGTTTGAGGGGCTCGGAAATAAAACCAGGGATCCCTGGCCCCCACACCCCCATCATCGTTCCCTGAAGAAGAAGAAAAGAGTGCAGAATGAGCCACGCTGCCAGGCTTCTGCCAGCTATGGGGTTCCCTGCCGCTGCCCAGCGCGCTGGGGCAGCCACCGGATTGCCCATTATTCGTGATGACAAGAGCAAATATAGACACTGAGAGAGCCGAGGAGAGACTGAGTGGAATAAAGGGCGTTTACATCTTTGAAGAGGGAAGCGGCCCTCCCCGGGCAGAGCCCCGCCCAGTGGGCGCTGGGGCCCTCATCACTCAAATCCGCACTTAATTAAAGAGGGGAGCATCCTGGACTCTGCCCAGCTGGCATCGATTCCATCCCAATCCTTCAGCCGGCTGACATTTGTCCGTTTGTCACTCTGACAGAAAGGGATGAAATTCAAAAAGAATAATAAACTCTGCTCGGGCCGGCGGGGCTGGGTTGGTTGGGCGTAGGTTCCCCTTTAGATTGCCTGTCAGGGGCACATGCCCGGGGTTGTGGGCTCAATCCCCGGTAGGCATTAGATGGATGTTTTGTCCTCACATCCATGTTTCTCTCTCTCCCTCGCCCTTCTTTTTTCTCTAAAAGTCAATTTTTAAAAAATATATTTTATTCATTTTTACAGAGTGGAAGGGAGAGGGACAGAGAGTTAGAAACATCGATGAAAGAGAAACATTGACCAGCTGCCTCCTGCACACCCCCCACTGGGGATGTGCCCGCAACCAAGGTATCGATACATGCCCTTGACGGGAATCGAACTCGGGACCCTTCAGTCCGCAGGCCGACTCTCTATCCACTGAGCCAAACCAGTTAGGGCTAAAGAATCATTTTAAAAGTCTTTTTAAAAGAAAGAACATCTTCTTCCTGCAGCTTTCGGAGACAGCCTGTCCTTGAGCCGGGCTGCTCTGTCCGGAAGCAGAGGGCTGACATCTGAACCACTGAGGGAGGAGACAGGACAGAAAGGAACCGCTTTGCACTTGGGGGAGTCCTGAGCTGCTTGTCGGCAGCAACTCTGAACAACTAAAGTCACCAGCACCCCCCAAAAAAATAAAAGTCCCTTTCCTGGGGGCACCCTTGATCTCCTTGGCCTCACAGACTGTTTTTTGTTGTTGTTGTTTTTTAATATATTTTCGTGGATTTCAGAGAGGAAGGGAGAGATAGAAACATCAATGATGAGAATCATTGGTCAGCTGCCTCCTGCATGTCCCACACCAGGTGTCCAGCCAGCACCCCAAGCATATGCCCTGACCAGGGATTGAACTGCGACCTTCTGGTTCATAGAGCAACGTTCAACCATTGAGCCACACCGGCCAGGCTCCAACCATTTGTAAGGTAATAATATTGACAAGATCTATGATCTTGCAAAGACATGGAGCAGTGGTTCTCCACAACCCTGCTCTGTGGTGACCCCTGATGGACCCTCCCCTCAGCAAATGCACACACGCCCACATGCACACACACGTGTACAAGCAGTTGGTTTCAGGGACTACATATCCATTGTCCCTGGGTTCAGAACCCTGGCAGTTTGGAGGAAGCCACGTGAAAATGGGACTGTGAAACTGAGGACGAAAGGAAGTTCTGATTCACCAGCCCATGGGACGACCCCGTGTTCCTCCATCCCCACCGCCTGACCCTGCTCTCTGGTTCACTCCCCCTGGTGACCGGTCCAGTCCGGGAAACACTCAAGGATCAGAGGACACCACTTAGCCATTTACCTCACCCGTTGGCCTTACCACGCCGTCCCTGGGTGAGCCTCTGAGCCCCACCCTCTAAGCCTTGGGACTCTCGGCTCTTCCAGACATTGTCTTCCCTTCACAGTCAGGTTGTCCAGGTCACCCCGTGCCCAGCCGCTGCCCTATCTGGAGGCCCCAGGGGGAGAACCTGCTTCTTTAACGCATCCTGATCCTGGCGCCTTGTAGTTTCTCCTCCCTTCACAGCCCCAGCTAGGCCTCAGGCTGCCTTGGCATGAACATCTGCATATCTAAGACACACGTTTACACTTTATAACGTAGACTCCTGGGAAACTGGTCAGATAACAGTTCCAACATACCGAAGGGGAGGAAACCCCACCAAAGCTGGGGTGGGAGGTGTCAGGTAGGCTGCTGTGTGTGTCCTGGAGAATACTGTGAGCATCCTTCATCCGGGTGTGTCTATGGGTGTGCTCTGGCCCAGGCTTGTCCTCCATCTGGTTTGTTGTGTCTTCCCTCTTCGTGCCTGTGGGTCTGGTTGGGGTGTCCTCAGTCTACTGAGTGGACCCTTGGGGGACCTTTGAGGCCGCAGTCTCCTCATTTGTAAAATGGGGGCAACACCTCATAGGACTGCTGTGAGGCCTGCGTGAGTTCACGCAGGACCAGCCCTGGCAGCAGAGCACGGCTGAGTGGGAGTTGGTCATTGCAATGTAACGCCAACAGAAATCTCCAGCCTCTCTCCTCCTTCCTCTCCCCAGCTGCCTCGAACCCTGGGCGAGGCTCGGATGTTCCCCCGGGAGAGCTCACGGTGATGAGCCTGGGTGATGGTGAATTGGAGGCCAGCTGACAGCAGTGGCAGCAACAGTGGCGCCTTTTCTTACTCTGAGCCTGAGCCTGAGCCAGAGGAGGAGGTCCCTGCATGGGGAGTGGGGATGAGCCAGGGGCCCCCCTCAGAAACAGCTGGGAAGCCCTAAAAAAAAAACCCAACCTGAGTGCCCACTCTGGAACCCACCAGAATTTTCTCCATTGTCTTGGAGCCCTATCAGAGCTGCCTTCGGGAAGAATCCTGTCCTCCTCCCCCACGTCTCCTGGCCCGGAGACGTTACAAACTCCTCCCTAAACTGGTTCCATCCAGCCCAGAGCTGGGATTTGCTTGAGCTTGTCTCTCCTCCTTTGGGCAGGGTTCCTGCTAAGTTACATTCGTCTTGCCTTTCTTGTCCCTATTCACCAAACACGTATCTCATGAGACCCCCTAAGCATGAAGCAGGCTGGGGGGAGAATTTCAGAGGCAAACGGACCTCCATCGGGCGCCCGGAGAAGTCTTCATCCTTAGGGATGACTAGACCACGAGGCAGAATAACAGACAGCCCTGTCGGAGACACAGGCAGGAATGTGGTGCGTCCTTAAGGGATTGATTCAGGCTGCCTGGCAGGCTTCCTGGAGGAGGGGCAGCAGACACGAGCCTTAAAGAATATCTCAGCAGAGAAGAGAGGGACATTCGTTTTCATTTGCCCAAGATGATCTCATGGAATGAGCCCTAAACGGGTGCTAGAGTTTTGGTGTTTCAGTCCCAGCTCTGACGCTGACCAGAGGAAAGAGCTCAATGTATCATTTCCTTCTCCGGACCTCCCGGTGCCTCCTCTGTAAAGTGGGGCATTGGATTAGATGGATTTGAAAGCAGCCACTAGTGACCTGGGGATTGGCCAGTCTCTTGTGTGTATCACAAACAGGCAGCGAGCAAACCCAGGCTCTCCTCAAAGACGTGCATCCACGTTAGACCCAGAGAATTATCTCTGGAAAAATAAAAAGGTCTGAGGGTGGAGGGGGGGGGGTGTCATGTCCCGTGTGTCCCCCTGGCTGCAGCCTCAGCAGCCCAGCTCCCACGTGCTTGATTTGGGCACAGCTGTTTGCCTGGCACCCAGCATTGTGTCTGGCACCATAAATGTTTACTGAATAAAGAGAATAAATGAGGTGACAGAGATAATTGCCAGTTTTTTTGGCTGGAACAGAAATCAGTCCTACCCCCCAGGTCATCAGATCCCTTTGGGCTTTGGCTCCTTAATCCGCGTGTGTGTGTAAGAGGAAAGATGGCTGAGGGGAGCTGTCCTTTCTGAGGTCCACGCTGGGGCCTCTGCCGCAATTACTAGAAAGTGGGTCACACAACTGCTCTGCGGAGCACAGACCCTTGAGGAAGAGCCTGGATTCCATGCCAGCTCACATTTATGGAGTGCCCACTGTGTATTAGTTGTTGTCACGTAGCTTTAATTTATTTCATTGTGGCCTCAAAGGGCTGGCTGTACAGGAGAACGTGGGCGATGGGGAACCGTAAACCCCAGCAGCCAGAGTGACCTCAGCCTAGTCACCGCCCCTCTCGGGGTGTCCATTTTCCATCTCCGCAAAATGGAGACAATAGAGCCACCTCGCCAGGTTATGGGGATGAAATGAGCACGTGGAAGAGGAGCGTTTCATAAGCGCTAATTATTATTGTTCCTCCGGGCACACAAGTCCGCTCACCTCCTCCCCAGGGCGCCTACGCAGACATGATCACACTCCCACGTCCATGCAGAGGCACAGGGACGCGGGCAGACGCCAGCGGAGGGGCTCGCCGAGCCTCAGACCCAGGGCCGCCGCCGAGCCCCTCGGAGGAGCCATCGAGTCCTCGGCGTCCCTCTTTCCCTCTCGGCTCTTTCTGAATGAACTCCGGCCGCGAGTTTATTTTTTTATGAATGAGAGCACTGGCAGTGAATGAAGCCAGGAAGCAGCCCCTGCTTTCTGATTGGCCGCCGCGACTGGGAAACTCCGCCCCTCGGCTTGGCCATGCGAGTCTCCGGATTGGCGGACGTGCCCGGCCCTGGGGTTTCATTCACAAAAGTCAATGAAACAAAGGGAACGGGTTTGGGGGGGCCAGGGGGAGAGAGCCTGGGCCGAGAGGCAAGGGAAATGCACCAATCGGCGGCTCCCCCGGGCACACAACTGTCCGCCGCGCCCGGAAAACTAGCTCGTGCGCTGGGGACCCGAGGCCCGGGCCGCCGCGCTCCGGCCTAGCCCCGCGGCCTCGCCGCCGCCCCGGAGCATGCCCAGGACCCCCCGCGTCTCCAGCACAGGAGCCCCGGCCTCAGGTGAGGCTGCGGGAGGAAGAGGGAGGGACTTTCTGCCCGCGATCCCCTGCCTCGCCTTCAACACACACACACACACACACACACACACACACCCCACGCTCTCACTGCCACCCCCGCAGATTCCAGGGCGGCGGTGGGAGGGAGGCGCTGGGAATTCAGGGCTGGAGGGGGCGCGGGAGTTGTGGGCGTGCGGATGGTGCGCGCCCTGCCCGCTCCTCGGCGCGCGCGCACACACGTACACACACACACACACACACACACACACACACGCACGTCTTATGTAACCGAGCCCGGGTAGAGCAGGGCTGCAGAAAGCAGCCGAAACCGCGAGCCCGGCCGGCTCCCGGGAGCAGGTGGGACCTCCTCTGGCGGGAGGGGAGTGGCGACGGCGCTCCGAGCTCGGCAAGCGAAACCCCACCAATCGCCCGAGTGAGTCGGAGAAGTTTTGCCCGTCGGACCCAGAGCCTGGGGACGGTCCCCTCTCCCCGTCGCCCTTACCTACCCACCCCGCCCCGCTGCTTTCCCTGGACGGTGTGCGAACGCAGCCCGCCCCCCTCCCAGGTCTCTGCCCCCGCGCGGGGCCCGGGCCTCGCGGCCGGAGGGAGCGGCCGGATGGAGCGGAGGATGAAAGGCGGATACTTGGACCAGCAAGTGCCCTACACCTTCTGCAGCGTGAGCGCCGCGCCCGCCTCCACGCCCGGGGGCCCCCGCCCTGCACCTCGCCCCGCAGCCCCTGCCCCGAGGCCCCAGGGGGTCGGTCCAGGGTTGCCCTGCCCGGAGAACCCCGTCCCGCCGCCTAGACCGGCCGACCTCAGGGTGATGAAGGGGCTTTCTTCTCCTTCCCCGTAGAAATCTCCCGGAAATGGGAGCTTGCGCGAAGCGCTGATGGTCCCGCAGGGGAAACTCATGGACCCCGGCTCCCTGCCGCCCCCCGACTCCGAAGGTAAAGAGCCGGAGAGAGCACCGCTCCCCTCCCCACCACACACCCCTCCCCAAAGGACCGATCCTGGAGCCCCCACCCTTTTTGCCAAAAAGACTCGCCCTCCTTCAAGGGACTCGGGTCACTCTTGGCCCCAAGGGGGGTCGCCGGGCTCGCTGGGGCGCCCCCTCTCTCACCATCACCTCCACCTCACCTTCTCCAATCCCATTATTCACCCCTCAGATCTCTTCCAGGATCTAAGTCACTTCCAGGAGACGTGGCTCGCTGAAGGTGAGTAGTTCTATGACCTTTTCCATTACTGGGGTGTGTGTGTGTATGGGGGGGGGGTGCTCTCAACCCCGCTATTCCAACCCAGCCCACTTCCTCTCTCCCTGGCCTCAGAAGCTCTCCAGTGCCCCCTCCCCAAGGCCCCTGGTCCCCAGCGCCCAGCATGGACACTTATATTGATATTTATTTTCTCTGCCCTGAGCCGGGCTTGTGTAACTAGGCCTGGGGATGAATCAGACCATTGTGTGGGGTATTTGCTTATTTGAATGGAACTTGGCCCCAGGCCCGTTTTCCTGGTTGAAATTTTCATTTGCAAAGTTTATTTGGCAGCCACCACCGGGCTGAGGTGTGTGTTGGGGCCTTGGGGGGAGGTGTGTGAGGGACAGGAAGATGAGGAGAAAGAGCAATTAATTTGTTACGTATCTTCAGGAGTTGCCAAAACATTGGTTTTTACCTAAATTCTTGCTTCCTCTGCTTCCCAACTCCCTGTTGCCAAACAATGTTCTGTCTGAGCCAAAAGAACAACAAACGTTTAAATTAATTCTTTTTTGCAGCGCTTTGTCAAAGAGGGCTCTGAGCCCCCTCCTCCCCCTAATAGCCTTGATTGTAATTCTGATGGCAACGGATCCTCCTCCTTTCCTCCTGAATCCCTCCTCCCCAGGCAGATTCCCCCACTTGTGTGCGGTGGGTTAGCTGTAGCTGCAACTAAGGTGGGGTCAGGAGCTGGGCCTTGGCTCAGTGGGGAGCGTTCGGGGGTCTCCTGGTTGGAGCCATTGGTGTGTTTTGGTGGGGCCTGAGGGTGTCACTGGTGGGGCTGCAGGCAGGAGGTGAATGGCGTTTGGTCTCCGAGGAGGAAGGGCCCATCTTAGGGTCCCTTATTTTAACTCTCTGGAAACCGAGAAACCTTTTTGAAGACCTTTCTCTTCTTTAGAGTCTCCCCAGCCCTCCATCTGGGCATCCTTGGTGATTGTTTTAAAGCTCAAACCCTGCTCCTCTGGAACCCTCTAAAGGCTTGGGGTAGGAAGGGAAGATTCCTGATTTAGATCCTTGGAGTGAGACTACATCTGTCCTGACCAGTGTGGTATCCCCCAAAACATAGATGTTACAGAATGACTACTTCACATAGAGCAAGTGCTGGAAACACTTTGTGGAATTCGTGGCTCTCTGGGGTACCGTGCACATCTTCCAGACTCAGCAAACCCTGAGTGCCCAGCTGCGAGCTACAGGCAGAGCTATGCCCAGCCTGCCCAGCCTCCTCCCGAGGTTCCAAGGTTCCGGAGCTGGGCTGGCGCCGGGGAACGCAGAGGTGTCAGTTTCCACGTCTCTCAAAGACTTCCTTTCCCAGCGCCTGGTCTCTGTCTGGCTCACCAGGCTCCTTGTCTGTCTGTCAGCTGAGGGTCCCAGCGCTCCCCGCAGTGGGCAGCTCCCGGGGCTGAGATCTAGGAGTGGGCTCAGAGGCTGGCATGTGGGCAGCCGCTGGTCCATTGGTGCCTGGGTTGGAATGGAAAGGAGAGGAAAATGTTCTCATCATAGTCTCTCCACCTCGGAAGCCCCACCCCTTGGCGGAGGGGGTCCGGGGACTGTACGTGTGGCTCTCTGCGTGTGTCAGTGTGACGGTGAGCGTGTGTGCTCCATGCTGCTGTCCTGCAAGTGTCTGTGCATTTAAATCCAGTGGGTGGGGAGGTGGGGGTGGGATCGTAGGACGGAGGGGGGGGGGGCGCCAGCGCTGGGATCTCCTTGGTTCCCTCTCCTTCCTTCTGAGGGAGCAGCTCAGGTTCCCAGCTGGCGATGGATGGCCAGGCCTGAGGCGGGGATGCTGAGGCCGCTTGGTCCTTCGCATTCTCTCTGTGGAGACAGATGCAGCTGCCGGGGCCCTGTCCCCCTGCTCCACCCCAGCACCACCCCAGCCTCCTCTCCTGCGTCTTCCCACCAGGTCAGTGGCCCCTGCCGCCCAGGGGGAGCTTCGGGGTGGCAGGGAGGGGCCAGCCCCTTTGGAAACCTGCCAGAAATGGGGCGCAGCTGTAGGAATGGGGGCCGGAATCCAACCGGCCTCCCTCAGCCTGAATTTTTCCTACAACCCCAATTTGGAAAGCAGCAGCAGGTCCTTGTAGTGTGCGTGTGTGTGTGTGGGGGGGGGGGGATTGGGGGTACGAGGATTGTGAAACAGTCCATGGATGCCCAGGTTGGATCCAGGTCGATGTGATTGTGGGTTCGGAATCTGTCCGGTCATCATTAGGGGTGAGTGTGAGTGGGGTTCTGTAGGGACAGGCAGTTCAGCTGTCTTTGGGGTTGGGGTTTTTCTAGACAGAGCAAAGGGGGGTACAGTGAGTCCAAGAGGGCATTCTGGTTTCGGGGTGCTGGGATCTGTTGAGTTGCCGGAGAAAGGATCCGGCTGCTGTACGGAAACGCAGGCTCAGGAGGCTGAGCCCACGCTGCGCTGGTTATGGCAAAAGGTGTGTTGCTTTGGGTCCAGGGTTGCTTTCCCGGCTTGTGGGGGACCCTGGGGGACAGTGTCACTGGTCTGTGTAAGGCACGCTGACTCAGGGCCATCGGTGGCCTTTGTGTGGGTCTGTGCAGCCCGAGGAACTCTGCAGAGGAACTGCAGGGGGCCTAGGCTCTCTGACACGGTAAAATGTTGGGGTGTGCCACACACAAAGGAATGTGGGCTTTTCTAGAAAGAGAATGGTCCTTGCCTTCATGAGATTCTCAGAGGTGGGTCTCTGCTCCCCTTTTCCTAAGAATCACTGCTCTCAGTCCCCCTGCCGCTGAGGTCTCCAGTCCCCTTGCCCTTTGGTTTCCCCCATTGTCTTTGTAAACCCGAAGGAGACCCTTTGTGGGCAGGGTGTGCATGGGGGGGGGGGGGGGGTTACTGGTGTGCTGCCGTGAAGTAAAGGAATTGGGGGGGGGAGGTGTGAATCCCTGGGTATGCCCGTCAGTGCTCTAGCTTGTCTGTGGGGAGAGATGGGGTTAATCCCGTCCCCCAGTCTTTTAGCGACAACACCTCCTTCTACATGTTTCTGGCTCCATCTCTTCTAGAAGGTTCCTGGGAACAGAGGTCTCCTCCACAGGCACAGAACTGGTTCCTTCCCGAACAGAGGATGGGGGCAGGGTAAGGGTGGGAGCTGAGGCCAGTGCTGACACAAAGGAGCAGAAGCTTTGGGGAATGGCTCCCTGCCTCTCCACTAGGATTCCTTAAAAGGCCCCTTTCTCCTGCGATTGGGAGGGGAGATGGTGCTGGGGCTTACGTGGTGCTAGTGAGAGGCTCATCTGAGGTGGAATTAGCTGCTTGGGAAGTCCCCAAGCCCCTCCTCTCCTACTACCCTCAGCCTCCTCGTGGGAAGGATGTGCCCTAAAAATTCTCTCTTTGGGCATTTTGCTGGCTTGGCACCTTTCCCATCCTTCATCACCTGCCATGCCCTCAGGCAGATAACCGCGACCTTAGTGCCAGGGTGGGGTTGGGGGAAGGCTGGCACACTGGCTTGGCAGCCAAAACTCAGCCACGTTAACAAATAAATAAAGAATGGCGTACACTCAGGACCAAACATGGTCATTCGGAATCTGCTCTCCAGGAAGGTGAGGTGCAGTGTTAAAGGTTACTCTTCTATTTCTTTTTGTTGTTGTCAGTCCTCACCCCGGCATATTTTCCACTGATTTTTAGAGGGAGTGGAAGGAAGGGGAAGAGAGAGAAACATGGATGTATCAGTTGATTGCCTCCCGGGTGGAGCCTGCAACTGAGGTACGTGCCCTTGACCGGAATCAAACCCGGGACCCTTCAGTCCACAGGCCGATGCTCTACCCACTGAGCCAAACCGAGCCAATGGCTGCTTCCCAGGGCCTCCTGTCCCTATTTCTATCTTGGTTAACAGTTTCTGAGCAACTGTGTCCCTGCCCCGCCGCCCCTTTGGGTGAAGCCAGTGATCTAGGGAAGGGCCAGTCAGGGACTGGGGTTCATGCCACAGCCCGTTGCCTCCACTGATTCCTCCTGGCCCCGGGAAGAGGATGGCACAGCCTCTTCTGGAGTGTGGTCTGTGTGCTGGGGTGGCCCTCAGCCTCCGGGACTGCTGTGGAGCGGCGGTCCTGGCCACGTCTTCAGGCCTGGGCTAGAAGGGAGGGCAGGGCGAACCCTAGGGCTCTCGTGTGAGCTGGCACGTGACGTCAGTGGGAGATGCCCCAGCCATCACCTCAGAGGAAAGCAGCAGCTAACGAAGCCCCAGAGGGGACTCATGTGCGTCAGCCTCCCCCGGGTCTGCCCCCCCCCCCACCTCCGACAGCGGGCCCCTCCTTGCCTACGCAGCAGGGAGGGAAATGCTGCTCATCCTGCTCCCATTACCCCTGTCCAGCCACCTGTGGCTGGGCCAGAGAACACGGCATGGATGAACGTGGGTCTGCACCAATCTTGCCCATTCTTCAGGCACTTGTTAAAAATAAAGCTGCCTATGCCACCAGTTTGGCTCAGTGGATAGAGCATCGGCCTGCAGACTGAAGGGTCCCAGGTTCGATTCCGGTCAAGGGCATGTACCTTGGTTGCGGGCACATCCCCAGTAGGGGGTGTGTGCAGGAGGCAGCTGATCGATGATTCTCTCTCATCGATGTTTCTAACCCTCTATCCCTCTCTCTTCCTCTCTGTGAAAAATCAATAAAATATATTTAAATAAAAAATAAATAAAGCTGCCTATGGAATGAGACTTGGGGGTGGCTTGGAATCCCTGTTTTAACAATGTGCCCAGACTCTCGATCCGGGCCAGTTAAGAAACGGTTGCTTTTGTGCCCGAGTGGGGCTTCCGAAAAGATTTGTGCTTCCTGTGTGTGTTTTTGTTTTTGCCAAGGGGTGTCATGTCCTACTGGCTTACTTGATCACTTTAGAATTGTTTTACGTTGAGGTTTCATCAGCTCTTTAGCTGTTGGTGGCTCCTGATTCTTAAACCCCCCTCTGCCCAATCTCTCTGTCAAGAAGTCAACTGCCTATAAACATCCATTTTAGGATCTAAACTTCTATTTTAATAAAGTTCTTGAGTTTTAAAGAGTGGCGTACACTCAAGACCAAACATGATATTTAAAGCAAGTTAGTGAAGAATTGTTCTGCCACCGCCTAACGGGTGCCACGTGAGAAGGGTTCTCCCTGGAGGACCTGCTTCTCATGAAACCTGGTGGTGGAGGGAGGGGAGCCCTCAGGGTGAGGAAGGGCTGGTTGGCTGGTTGGCTGGTTAGGATCTCTTCCTTCTTGCTCCCAGGCCTACCATCCCGGCTCTCACCAGTCTGAGCACAGAGGTTATTCTATCTTTATTCACAGAGTTGACAGATAACGCAGCGAGAGCCTATTCTGAGCCAGACCCCATTCCTGGGGCACTGGGGAATCAGATGAACAAGACATATAAGCTGAAACCGGTTTGGCTCAGTGGGTAGAGCGTCGGCCTGCGGACTGAAAGGTCCCAGGTTCGATTCTGGTCAAGGGCATGTACCTTGGTTGCGGGCACATCCCCAGTAGAGGGTGTGCAAGAGGCAGCTGATCGATGATTCTCTCTCATCGATGATTCTAACTCTCTATCCCTCTCCCTTCCTCTCTGTAAAAAACCAATAAAATATATATATTTTTTAAAAACAGATAAGCCCCATGCCCTCAGCAAGCTTGCCTTCCTGGTAGAAGAGATGGACAATAAATACGTGAACATAGTTAATAAGCTCAGGTTCCCATGCCGTGCTGGGGAAGAAATAAAATGGATGTGAGAAAGGAGTGGGAGGGGGGACCTCTGGGCTGGGTGGTCAGAGAAGACCTCTGAGGAGGTGACAAAGTGAACTAAAACTTCAGTGGCCAGAAAAAAAATAGGCAGACAAAGGTCTGGGGAAGAGGGATCAAGCTGATGAGCTTTGAAAAGAGACCGGCGCTCAGGAGAGTAAAGGGCCAGCACAGGCAGGTCAAAGAGGTAAGCGCATCAGACCATGCGGGGCCTTGGAGGCCAAGGGGAAGAGCTTGGGATTCGCACTTTAAGCAAGAGAGCGAAGGGATTTGACTTCTGACAGCTATGTGGAGAACACCTGACTAGCAGGTGAGAGTGGAAGTGGGGAGTTTTGATTAGAGGCTGTGGCTGAAATCACCAAGGAAGATACTATGGAGCCTTTGCAAACGGGGTGTCTAGCTGTGCAGGCGAGAACGAGTGAGGGTGTTCTCCAGCCGTCTCCTTGGATCCTCACCCTTACCAGCCATTCCTGATTCTGATCATCTTATCCATCAGCCTCTCCACGGTCTATCCTGAGAGCAGTCTCCTTGGGTACCAGCCCCTCACCTTTGAGCCCCTCTCTTCTCGGCCTATCAGGAAGTTCTTCTTGGAGTCTTCCTTTTCCCTTCCTGATATAACCTAGTCTTGAGAGAGGGACAAACCTGGGCAAAGACTCTGGAGTCATGGGAGGTACTCAGCGGTAGACCCACCTGAAGGAGTTGGTGAGACCAGGATAAGGACTATAAATCAACCCAGATGTCCAGGTTGGAGGCCATGGGTGAGCTACTGTTCTATTTTAGTTTTGCTGCCGAAATCCCAAACCCAGCGCCACCCACGCTGGCACACTGGGAATGCTCCTTGAGAACTTCCAAGCTTGGGAGCCCTTCTCTCTCCTAGCTGCACATCAAAGGATGAGGCCCTGACCTCCCATTCTCATCCCAGCCTCTTCCCCTCCATTCTCATCCCTTTTTTTTTAACCTGCCTCCAATTACCCTCTTTTCTCCGTTCCATCTCTTCCTGGGATCTAGAGTTCTAGATTTCACTTTGTAGGTTGTATACAATGCAGATTCCTGCCCAGAGTCAGAATCTCCCCTGTGATTCAAAGTCCACAGGCTCTCACTCCTTGTCATGCCTGCCCATCCCAGCGGTGATGCTGTTGCTTTGAGAAGGCTTTGTAAACTCTGAGGGGCAGGCTGTCTTCACTTCGGAAACGTGGAGGGAACAAAGACAAAGCATCTAGGAAAAGACTGGAATCTGCTCAGACAGGTTCTGAGAATCCACAGCTTCTCCCCTCCAGGGTCTTAATGGAGCCAGAGATGGAGGGCACTAGGACCTGGTGCAGAGTTGCCTTTATTTCTAGGAAGGCTGTTTTGGGGTGGGTGCTGATCTGCTGGGCTGCTTTAATGGTATCTCCCAGGGGCTGCCATCCAAGGCCCAACCCCCACCCCCTCAACCCCCAATCTAGACTCACCTTTGACCTCTCTTCGCAGCTCAGGTACCAGATAGTGATGAACAGTTTCTTCCTGATTTCCATTCAGAAAACTGTGAGTAGAGGGCCCTGGGGAGAGGGGATGGGGAGTGGGGAAGGGCAGGAAATGAGTCACAGGAACAGAGAATCACAAAAGATCAACTTGTTCTCTCCTAAAGAGAGGGGTGGAGGGCAGGGCTCCCCATTCTTGGGTTTGGACTCAAAGACCAAGGCAGTCGCTGGGACGTGAAGACGTTAACTCCAAGGGGCTTTCTCCATCTTAGCTGTGTGGCCTCGGAGCAGACACTTCATCTCTCTGATCCTCCATCCTCTGGTTTCTGAAGTGGGCAGACGTGTGCCAGTTCAGCAGGGTCCAGTTCTACCATCCCACGTTACTTTCATGCAACTCGGGGGCTATTTTGTGCCCCCCCCCCCCAGCCCATTAGCAATGTTTGTAGACATTTTTGGTTGCCACACTGGAACTAGATGCCTCCGGCCCCTGGTGGGGAGAGTATCATGGGATGCTACTAAATACCCTATACCCGTGGTCTGCAAACTGCGGCTCGCCAGCCACATGCAGCGCTTTGGCCCCTTGAGTGTGGCTCTTCCACAAAATACCACGGCCTGGGCGAGTCTGTTTTGAAGAAGTGGCGTTAGAAGAAGTTTAAAAGAAATTGGGCTCTCCAAAGAAATTTCTATCATTGTACTGTTGATATTTGGCTCTGTTGACTAATGAGTTTGCCCACCATTGCCCTATACAATGCTCAGGAGATACTCCCCTCCCCCAACAAAACATTATCTGGCCCAAATGTCAATAGTTCCTGCTTTAATGTCAGATACTTTGCTCTCAATTGTCTTCCTCAATGAAATGAAACAGGGCACACATACCCGAAAACAGCAGATAACGGATGGGCTTGATAGTAGGCATCTGACCCGGCTGCAGTAGGACAGAACCTCACACTCTGCCAACTCGTTGCTCCTCCGCCTGGTGGCTGGAGTTTGTGGACCCAGCAGGGGCCTAGGGCCAGGCCCCTGTTCACAGATAATTAGGAGTCTGTGTATAATGCTCGTCAGCTGACATGTGAGAGGCTCACATCCAGCCTCCACCAGAAAGAGAAAGATTCTTTAACAGCCCCAAATAAGAAAGCATCCCTCTCCCTCGGAATTTTCCAGGGCGCTCAGGAAAACCACAGGCCCAACATTCAAAGTGCTCGCCCCTACAAAGGTGTTTTTTGGGGGTGGGTTTTGGATTGCATGAAACGTTGAACTCGGGACCATTTCTTTGGCTGATATTAGACATTTTCCCGATGGATAAAACTAGACATAACGTATAAGTAGCCAAACTACTTAATGCTTAAACGGAAATGGAGACCCAGAGCAGGGACCAGGCTGTGCCGGTCCCCCAGCCGGTCCTCGGAGAGCAGCTGGTGGAGGAAGCTCTCTCTGCCTCTTCTGAGACACTCTGCCTGCTCTGCCCCCCTTCCGCCCCACAGTAGCTTTCCACAGCCCCACCACCAGGATCAAGAAGGAGCCCCAGAGTCCCCGCACAGACCCGGCCCTGTCCTGCAGCAGGAAGCCGCCACTCCCCTACCACCATGGCGAGCAGTGCCTTTACTCCAGGTGAGGGCCGCCCCGGCCACGGAGGAGGGAGGGGCACTCGTGAGCAGAGGCAGCCGTTGCAATGAAATGCACGCGAGACGACAGAAAGGATTTCCGAAAGGGAGCGGTGCAGGGAGGGTATCCCCCGAGTAGTTAGGAGGGTCCCAGGGCTGTGTGTGAAGGCTGGCCACGTTTGTTCCCACTGAAGAAGCCCAGTCAGTGGCTCTGGGCTCGGGGGGGCCGTGTGCTCAAGACCACACCCCGTGTCAGCGTGTACAAAGGGTGAAAAAGTTCATTCCGGGCCTTGTCTGGCTCCTGCTATTCCTTTCCCGGCACCCTGTCCTCTTTCTTCTCCTATAACCCCGTGCCCTGACTTCTCTGGGGATGGGTGAAGGGTTCGAAGATGCTCGCCTGGCTTTTCTGCCCCCTCACCCCTGTCTCCCCCTCAACTCCAGTGCCTATGACCCCCCTAGACAAATCGCCATCAAGTCCCCCGCCCCCGGTGCCCCCGGACAGCCGCCCCTGCCGCCCTATCCCCGGGCAGAACAACGGAGTTTCGTGAGATCCTCTGGCACCTCCCAGCCCCCCCCTGGCCATGGGTACCTCGGGGAGCATAGGTAAGGAGACCCCCCCCCCCCAATGGGAGCTGAGGGTCCTCCATCCGCCCTTAAGTGACCCGGTGTGGGGGGAGGTAGGGGGAAGGGATATGGACACTCACACCCACCCTGGCGCCCACTCTGCAAGCTTTGGGAGGGGCAGGCGCAAGGAGGACTTCATCTGATGCTCTCCTCCTCCTCCATCCCCCCTGTCCAGCTCCGTCTTCCAGCAGCCCTTGGATATGTGCCACTCCTTCACCTCCTCTCAGGGAGGGGGCCGGGACCCCCTCCCAACCCCCTACCAGCACCAGCTGTCGGAGCCCTGCCCACCCTACCCCCAGCAGAGCTTCAAGCAGGAATACCTTGACCCCCTGTACGAACAGCTGGCCATGGGCCAGGGTGGGGTCAATGGGCACAGGTACCCAGGGGCGGGGGTGGTGATCAAACAAGAGCAGACGGACTTCGCCTATGACTCGGGTAAGAGACATCTCAGGTGGGAGGGGTCGGGGTGAGGTTGCCGGGCGGGGCGGCATGTGATAACCCCCAGAACGTCTTTCCCCAAGTTCTTTACCTTCCTCTCTTTTTATTGGTTCACAAAGCCAACCCATTCACTTTCTCCATGGGGTCAAAAGAATTATCGGGGTTTTTTTTTTTCAGTCAGCAAGCTTATTTTCAGATAAAAAATAAATGGGATGTAGGTCCTTACCCTCAGGTAGCATGTGATGTAAGAGGCAAGTTAAGCCATTTCTTTCTATGTCTATTTAACAGGTGCCTGAGAGTTTAAGCACCTGTAGAGTCCATAGTACTGGTGGAGGAGTATGAATTTGTGGATTTAGAGGATACAACGATTAATAGGTTGTCCTCAGTCCCAGGGATGCTTAACAATAGGAAGGGAGCCCAGGGTGGTGATTCATCAGTTGAGGGCTGACCCGTGAACCAGGAGGTCAGAGTTCAATTCCCAATTCGGGCTCGATCCCCAGTCTGGGATGTGCAGGAGGCAGCTGATCAATGATTCTCTCTCATCATTGATGTTTCTCTCCCTCTCCTTTCCTCTCTTTAAAATCAATAAAAGCATTTTTTTTTTTTTAAATACGAAGGGATTTGAATGAAGAGAAACATGAACTTGAAACTAGCCAGGTTCCTAGTTCCCAGTTGGGACTCAGGGTTATTAATATAACCTGTTCAAGCCCCCCATCTTGACCAGAGCTGGGTACCGGAAGTAGGGGCTGCTGGAAACTCTAGTTCCACCCTGTTTACCTGAGTGAGATGCACTCAGCCATATATTCATCAACAGCAGTAGTTTAAGGCCCGGAGTGCACAGGGATGGCCCTTCTCAGAAAACCTTGGCTTGTTACACCGTTACTATCCCCAACTGAATTGCTATGCAAACTTGCGTGAGGGAAATATCCAGCCCTTAGAATAGGCTCAGAGCTGGCCAGAGCTTTTCCCCTTTTTCTGATGCATAACGCAGTCTTTTAGGGGCAGGGGAACGAACCACAAAGCCCCAAGCTGCCTGAGTGAGGACCAGAAGGGCGCTCCTCTCCTCCACCCGGGGCCTAAGCCTGAGCCACGCCTGGCAGGGAGATGCAGGAAAGAGGAGGGAGACGCTCTTGCCGCTGACCTTCAAAGGATGTAGACCGGAGGAGATCATGTTACTTGCCCTTGAACTCCCGCCCCTCCCCCTCCAGCTTCCTCTGAAAGGAGTCAGGAATTCCATTCACAAAATGGATGCATGAATGAGCCCACTCTCCCCGCCTCCTCCCGGAGGTGTCGGGTTTCACCATCTCATTCATAGGTGGGAGTGGAGGGCCAAGGGGCTGGAACTTGAATGGGTGGCTTCACACCACCAACTCCTCCAGGTGGAGCGGGGATGTTTCCATCCTGTGGAATGGAATCCAACGGAGTGGAATGGGCTCTGCTGTCAGAGCTGGGGGAAAAAAAAAAAAAAAAAAAAAACCGGCCCAGTGCCCACTGCCTCTTCCCTAATTACAGATCCGTGCAGTCTCTCTCCCTCCCGCCCACTCTCCTTTCCTCCGTCCCTCCCTCATATAGCACACTGGGCAGGGAATCTGACCTGCTGACCGGAGGTTAGCCCATTCCAGGGGAGTCTTAGACATGGACACTGTACCCTTTCCCCGGAGGTTCAGCGCTATCCCTCCCTCCTCCCCCCAAACTCACAGGAAACAGCTGCTCCCCGGAATCCTGGGCCTTGTGGAACAGCTTTACCCACCCCAGCTGCTGCCACCCCTGCCCTCTGGCTCAGCCCTCGAGCTGACGGGTTCCAGCCTCACACCCCCTCTGGGTGAACTTCCCCTGGGACAGGGGTAGGCAGGCAGGCAGCTGGGAACAGAGCCGGAAAGCAGGCTGGCAGGAAGTTCTTAAGTGTGTGTAGGCCTGCTGCCCCCACCTCCGCCCCAGCCACCGATAACATCACCCTTCTCTCTCTGCCCCCAGATGTCCCTGGGTGTGCGTCAATGTACCTCCATGCAGAGGGTTTCCCCGGACCCTCTCCAGGGGACGGGACCATGGGTAAGGCAGCCCCCTCTCCCTGCCAAGTCCTCCAGGTTGGAAGGGAGGTCCTGCCACGGGGGAAGGGTCTCCGGACCAGGAATCCCTCTGGACACTCTGGGGTCTCGTCGGTGAACCCCCCAGATCTGAGTGACCCCCACCTTCCTCCTCAAGGCTATGGCTATGAGAAACCTGTGCGACCATTCCCAGAGGATGTCTGTGTCGTCCCTGAGAAATTTGAAGGTCAGAGACGTGACTGTTCATGAGAGGGCCAGGTTTTTCTCCGTGCCCTCTGACTGTGTCACCTGGGAATCACACGACATTTCATGAGAAAGGGCCCGGAAAGGCTGCCAGGGGGACCCAAAGGCGCAAGCCCTACACGCCTGTTCCCTGTGCTCCCCAGGAGACATCAAGCAGGAAGGGATGGGAGCATTCCGAGAGGGACCACCCTACCAGCGCCGGGGTGCCTTGCAGCTGTGGCAGTTTCTGGTGGCCCTGCTGGATGACCCAACGAACGCTCACTTCATCGCCTGGACGGGCCGGGGGATGGAGTTCAAGCTGATCGAGCCTGAGGAGGTGGGCCTCTCCCATGTTCCCTCCCCTCCTTCCGACGGGTCTTGGGCCTGGCGGAGAGAGAGCCTGGGAACGGGTGGCATGGGTCTTCACCATCTTGGTTGCCGAGTTCTTACCAAACCGGGGTCTCTGAGCCGGTGCTTATTTGCCTGACCCGCTCGGCATTGTGCACTAAAAATCTCCAGTGCTGCCTCTGACCTGCCGCTCACGTTTCCTCTGCTGAGCTCGCATCGCCATCCCCAAAATCCTCCTGTTTCCCCGCAGGTCGCCAGGCTCTGGGGCATCCAGAAGAACCGGCCCGCCATGAATTACGACAAACTGAGCCGCTCCCTTCGATACTATTACGAGAAAGGCATCATGCAGAAGGTCAAGGGCTAAGGGTCCAGGGACAAGAGGGTGCGGGGCGGGGAAACAGAGGCGCCTTCTCGGGAGTTTGCAGGAGCAGATAGTGAGCCGGTCGGAAGGGACAAGAAATTGTGGACAATCCCCCCAGAAAAGTGCTAACCATTAAGAAGTCCACGTCATGGAGAGGTTGAGATCAGAGCTGAACCCCAGAAGGGAGCTAGCTGGCTGCTTAGAGGAACGAGTACGGAGAGAAGTGAACTCCACACATGTGCCTAGACCCCCTTCCCCGCCCCTGCACGGACGGACGCGGAGAGCGTTAGACGGACCCCGCCCTCTCTCCCCACAGGTGGCCGGAGAGCGCTACGTATACAAGTTTGTGTGCGAGCCTGAGGCCCTCTTCTCCCTGGCCTTCCCTGACAACCAGCGTCCAGCTCTCAAGGCCGAGTTTGACAGGCCGGTCAGTGAGGAAGACACAGTCCCTTTGTCCCACTTGGACGAGAGCCCTGCCTACCTCCCAGAGCTGGCTGGCCCTGCCCAGCCCTTTGGCCCTAAGGGTGGCTATTCCTACTAGCCCCGGGCGGCTGCTCCCTGGCCCCCGGGGTGCTGTCCTGTGTACATAGAGATGAATCTGGTGTCGGGGAAACCCTCACTCTGAAACCCACAGATGTCTTGGAGCAGGTTCCCACTGGCCTATCAGCCGCCCTGGCCCAGACTCTGAGCTGGGCACCAGAGTCCACGGGAAGGACGCGTGGAGACGCCGCAAGTGCAAGGTGGAGTCTCAGAAACTCCCGGGGGTCTCACCTCTGGCCTCTTCCTAGGTCCATCCTAGAGGCCCAAGCCCCTCCCCTTCCCCCATCGCAGAGAACAGTGTTTGTTCTCTTCCGGGGGACGGAGAAGCCTCCCTACTGTATCCTGGTGGGGAGGATGCTCTGGGCTCCCCAGATCGCCCGCTGCGGGGAGGCAGAAGCCTGGATCTTGCACTCCACTCCAAGCTGTGGCCCTGGAGGGTCCTGCTTGTCAGTTCTTGGTGCTCTGTTGCCCAGAGGTGGGGGCGAGGGGCGGGGGCGGGGGCGCTGGAGGAAGGAACCTGGGATGGGGGCAGGGATGGGGGCAGGGAGGGCTGGGTTCCTGCTCCGAGGGCCCTTTGCCTGTTCCTAGGCCCAGGCCTGGGCTATCACCTCCACCCCCACGTCTGCCAGACCCTAATAAAGGCCCCTGCTTCTCCCATCCTGTGTCCTCTTTGCTGCCAGGGGAGAAGGACCCGGTTTAAAAGAGCTTGACCTTGAGGCAGATGACACCAGTTTGGGATGTTTCCCTGCCACAAGTTACCAAATGATTCTTGGGAAAGGACAGTTCACCTTTTCCTCTGGAAAATGGGTCCATGGGCTCAGTGATACTTTCCCCCTCCCAGGATTATTATGGGAAGATCCCAAACTAATGTGCATAGGGCACTTTGTGATCTAGGCCAGTGCTTCTTGGCCATCTCTCTGTGGGGGTAGGGCTCCTGGAGCGTGTCCGGGCAGGATTTGGCCTGTGGTTTGTGACCACAGTTGATCCGTGAGCCATGAACGAACAGTGTGTCCCCACTCCTGCCGTGGCTCCAGGTTGCTGTTTCTGCTGAGGTTGGGGACGGAGTTTGGAGAGGATCTGGAGAACGGGAAAAGACACCCAGACGAGGGTGAAGGGAGGCTGGAACAAGCCCTGGGTTCTGGCCAGTGTAGGAAAAGGACCCTAGATCTTTGGGGGAAAGGTAAGTGGGGAACAGCAGGTTCTCCTTGCCCTGGAGCTGAGTTTTCGGGGGGGAAGAGGGGGGAGTGGGCAAGGCTGAGAAAGCGGTGACCCCTAGAGAAAGGAGTGACTAAGAGTATGACCAAGGAGTTCTGGGGAGTAAGAGGAAGGCCGTTGTCGGCCCAGGCCCTGTGCAAACAGCTTCCCAGGAGCCAGGCGCTCTCCAGTTAAACCCGAGCCACAGCCACGCTGAGGCCGGACTGCCCTATCCTCCAGCGCCTGCCACACCTCACCCTCAGTTCCTGCTCAGCACTAATGCTGACACCCAACAGTCCCCACAGGAGGGAAGGGATGCCTCTCAATCACCACCTACAAATAAAAAGCAACATCTTATTCCCCTAGAAACAAAATATCAATGTACTGATGTTTCTAAAATTTAGAGCAAGGAAAATAAAAATTTTAAGTACTATATATATATAATTTCATTCCATATTAAAGCCAGGATATCACAGCAAGAAGGTGTAAAATTTGAATGGAAACAGGTCCTGAGCACCTGCACGTGACGCTGGGATTTAGATGAGAATCTGCATCATAGAAAACATCTCGCAGGCTGAGACCTGTGACCTCTGGCCTCTAAAATGTTCATTAACAAGCCGCTCCCCACAACTCTGTTCACAGCTTTAAACTTGGAGGGGCACTGCTCCAGGGAGTCAGCTACAACACTCCCCCCCACCCCCCACTCCTCCCTGAGGAAATTCCTCAGGCCAAAGGAAAGAGCCAAAAAAAATCGGGCTCCAGACTGGATGAAGGTGAACCCGGGCCGAGAAGCCTGACCCAGCAGCAGAGCTTACACATGCCCCCTGGGGACAGTCCCCCCCACACACAAACAAGCACAGACTCAGCACATGTGCAGGGGCAGGAAACTCCTGAGCTGGGCTCCCGCAGGGTGCAGTGAACAGTAGACTTTAATGGCCAAGAAGATTCCAGCTCCCTGCATGAGACCCACATCCTCTGCTGGGTTGTCACTCAACCCGGGGTAATATTGGTTCAAGGAAGAGAAACAAGGGCCCCATTGTGAGGAAGCAGCAGGCGAGAGTCCTTCCGAATCGCTGGAAGCCCCCTGAGCGGGCTGGGCAATGCGGCCGGCATGCCGTTTCCTGAGGGGCAGTCAGGTCGGACCCACCATGCTGTGACAGCAGAGACGTTACCCCAGCACCTAGGGGGGACGTTCAAGGACACCCACAGAGCTAGCTAGGGACCTTTATTTTTCGTACCAAAACCCAGAAAGATGACCAGCCCTGTCTCTCACCTTGACCTGTTCAACATCCCCTCCTCAACCTGAGCTTAACCCAAAAGCCCATCTTCAGGGAATATGATCTCAGAGTGCCAATGCCATCAGTGCTGGTCACTCATCTGGGACAGGTGGGCTACGAAGCCCAGAGCTGGCCCCTGAACTGGACCTGGGCTGGAATTAAGACTGGGGAGCCGGGTGCCCAGCCAATGCGGCTTTTCCATTTCCTGTCGGCCCCTGCACGCTTCTCCCCATAAGGCCTTCAGTGTTGGCACACAAACATCGCTTGCCCTTAATGACAGGCCTGGGCTTCCTGGGAGTGCACTCGGACAGAATCAGAGGCTCGCGCTCAACTCAAGAGGGGCCGGGGACCTGGGGGCAGACTCCCTGGCCTGTACTCCTCTGCACTGGATTCTCTGAATTGTGTCTTCAGAGTGATTTGTCTGTGGCCCAACGACAGCCTACATTCCGTCATTTCCCACAAGGTTGCATCGTCTTGTAGTGTCTGGCTACAATTTGATGGCAGTTCTAGTATTTACATAATTTCAGAACTTACTAGAATGAGGGAGGTGGTGCAGGCCACATACAAGGTGCCCAACTGCCTAGGAGCTTCTGAACAAGCTCCACATCCAGAACAGCTTTCCACACAACCCACCTGGCAGCATCTGTCTGTTTTCCCTTCTCAGAAACGGTGAGAGGCCCTGGCCGTGTAGCTCAGTTATGATATGCCAAGGCTGTGGATTCAGTCTCTGGTCAGGGCACATACAAGCAACCAACAAATGCATAAACAAGTGGAACAACAAATCAATGTTTCTGTCTCTCTCTACGAAAGAAATCAATTAATAAAAATTTCAAAATAACTGGCACTGGGAAGTGGTTATTCCACAACGAATGCCAAGAGCACACCCCTCAGTGAGAGACTGAGCACAGATACTGGGCAGCTCGAGCCGGCTCTGAGAGGTGTCATGTTGGTTCTCTTCAAAAGGAAATGGGACACGCTGCACACGGTGAGTGTGGTAGGCGGCGGAGCCAGGGACAGCCTCTGCATTCAATGTGCGGCATCTGTAAGCACTCAGGCGCCAGGCCCGAGAGCCTGTGCCGGGAAGAGGTTACTCGTGGGGTGGTCCGCGGCTGGGACAGCGCGGTGCTAAGACTGGAGATGTGCGCTGTGCATCACTCTCAGCCTAAAGAGGCCCTGGGCTCTGGTTTCAGGGGACTCCCCACTGGTACACCAAAGCCCCAGAGACTACCCCCCACCCCGAGTCCAGGCCAATATCCTAACCTTTCAACTCAAAGAAATCTTCACAGAAACCATTTTTGTTTCCTTAAGAAAATAAATATTATCAGGTCAAGGGAAGGTACAGGGGCTGGAAAGGAGCAGGAAGTGGGGCCAACACTTTCAATGAGTTTCATGGCTCCCTCCTCCACACAGCACCCGCTGGGGCTTCAGGGTCCCCATCGTGTCCATCTCTCTGCATGTCCAGGTGTCCGATGCTCACAGCGCATTTCCCATCCCAGGGCTGCTCTTTCTAGGAGATGGTTCAGTGTACCCCTGTGTTGGCTGTGAGCCCCAGGTGGCCCCAGTGAGTTGGGGTAGTGTGGGAGGGACATTCTGGTCAAACCAGGCGTAAATCCCTGGTTCTATTTTACCACAAGGGAAGAAATGCAAATCAAGTTTGGAAAATGTCCAGTTAAGATCGTATCCTCATGGCCAGCTTTTCACCAGTATGAGTGAGTCCAAGGCCTGGGCCAGCGCCGCAAGAGGCGAACCAATCCTGCCGTCAGCGCCGCCGGAAAGCCCGGGATATTCTCCAGGCGTTGGGCTCCTCGTAGCGGTTGTACAAGGGTTCCAGGCGCTGCTGCTTCTTCTGCTTGCTTAGCTTCGTTGGGTCGGAGACCTTGAAGAAGGCAGGAGCGAACTCCACAAGCCACCGGGGGTCGATGGTGGTGACCTCACGCATGTACTCCTTCGTGGTCAGCACCAGCTCGTGGTACACCACCCTGAGAGGGGACAAGACAGGATCAAGTCTCCAGTCACGCTGGTCCCTGACGGGCCGCCGCTGAGCTTGCATTTTACCCTCTCAGCTCTCTGCCTGACCCCCCGGGAGACTGCAGTCTCTCTCTTACAACCACACTCCAATCCTGAGGAGGCCGCACACCTCTAAGCACTGGAAAGCTGTCAGAAGCATGTGTTCTAGCCCTGGCTCTGGCTCCAACTAGTCACTGACAGAGTGGATCGCACCACTTCTCTGGACCCATCTCCTGCTCTGAGAAACGGGACGGTGGTTTTCCAGGCTGTCTCCGCAGAACTCCACGGCCCTGAAGAGGAGCCTCAGGAGCTGCCACAAGGAGATGGGGGAAAGCCAAGCAGGCAAGACTCCATATCTGCAACCCTTCTACCATGGTTTTAAATCCGCTTTATATTAGGATAGGTAAGATTACTTTTTTTTTTTAAATGCTACTTGAAAAGAAATTTTTAAACCACCTCACTAAATGATCTCAAAGATCCTTCCTACATTTCATTCCCATGATTTTATTTCTTTCAAAAGAGTCTGACTGTGCCTAATTCACACTTCCGCTGCCCTAGAAATACACGCAGCGTTAGAATAGAAGTGCTGGGGGGAGGGGCCAAAGGCACAAACAAAGTGCCAATAGACTGACAGGTTCTCTCTGCCCAGAAGGGCTCCCAGACCTGGGGCCTGCCCACCTACCATTCCGGCTGTCTGTTGAAGAGAGCGCTGGAAGGGTGGATGTACACCACCTGCTGGTCGATCAGTGTCCGGTAACCCTCCTGCGGGTCCTTCTTGGCAGCATTTCGGAAGAATCCACTGCAGATGGCCTTTTGCACTCGGACTGTGGACTTACCGCAGGAAACCACATCCAGCTTGTGCCTATCAGGAAAATAAATCGAAGAGAGGACAGAGATGTGAGACAACTCTGTTTTCAGAGATTCTATCTTCCAAGATGACGGTGCCCAACACCCCCATCTCGGGGCCACAGAGTAGGCCCCAGGACCCTTCTTCCAGCCCTAAGAGTAAAAGGGGCAGCTCTGCCAAGTGGGCAAGATGGACACAGTAAGAGCGAAGGACTTAATTTAACGTGACTAGTAATGTTTCAGATGCTTGTAAATAGATTTTTTTTTCAACAAAAAATCATCTTCCTCTCAGAAACTTTTTATTAATTGATATAGAGAGTGAGAGAGAAAGAGGAGAAACAACAATGTGAGAGAGAAACATGGATCGGCTACCTCCTACATATGCCCCAACTGGAGATCAAGCTCACAACCTGGGTATGTGCTTATTGAAAATCAAACCCACAACCCTTTGGGGCACAGGATGATGCTCCAGCCAACTGAGCCACACTGGCCAGGGCCCCCAGGAACATTCTGAAGTGATTCTCAGCTGCACTCTTTTGTGGAGAGAATTATAACAAAAATGGAAAAGCTGAAGGAAAAGAGTTATGTGAGGAATCAATAGCTCCACAGTACATCTAGAGATGAACAGATGTGACATTCAAGGAAGTTCAACTCAAATATGAGGAAAAGACATCAGATGTTACCTGTCCATTATGCCTAACATCTGCTTGCGAATGTCCTGGGCCCGGCGCAGAGAACGAGCTTGGATAAAGTTCTCATAGCACCAAGGGTTGGAAAACTTGTTGTTCTTCCAAGAATTGTACACGGCCAACAGGGTGAGGTGGTCTCCTTCGGTTTGGTGGAATTTGGCCTTCTTCTGATCGGCGAGGGCTTGTTTATCCTGCCAAACAGAGGGAAAGAAGCTTATTTTCCGCCCAGCAGCTACTAAATGAACACCCAGCAGTTCCAGGAAGCCCTGCGTGACCTAGTAAGCGTCCACATTAAGCACTGGAGTGGCAATGGCTGATTTCACTCAGCTTCGCCACCACCTCCATATGAACGTGGGACCAAACTCCCTACCTTGGGCCTGTAAAAAACGTTCTGCACGGACAGCATGGACACAATGGTCAGCATTTCCTCACTGCAGCCCAGATGCACAGACATGATCAGCATTTTGCACAGCATTGGTTCCAGAGGGAATTCTGCCATCTAGAGGGAGAAGAAGAAAGTACAATTGCTACCCTGAGGAAGCTCCATCTGGACTTGCCAACGTGAGACACTGGTGAGCAGACCAGAAGAGGTTTGCCAAGCATGAGGACGTGGGATGCCTGTCTCTATCAGAAGACATTGCTGTTTTCATTTCCCAAAGAAATCCCAATGAAATACATGTGAGCAAGAACATAACTACTGTTACAGGAGGTGGGGATTTTGTAGACATCTTTTAAAATTAAGGCTAGACTCAATAATATATCCCAAGGTAAAATTGTGGGTAAAATTTATTTTTCTATAAAAAACAGTCTTAAGGCCTGGCTAGTGTGGCTCAGTGAGCTGGAGCATTGTCCCAATCACCAAAGGGTTGCGGGCTCGATTCCCGGTTAGGGCACATAACCAGGATGTGGTTTCAATCCCGGTCGGGGCATATGCAGGAGGCAGCTGATCAATATTTCTCTCTCGCAGCGATGATTCCCCCTTTTGCCCCTTTCCTCCCTCTAAAAATCAGTAAAAAAATAAAAGTGGGAAATGCAGTTAAAAAAAACAGGCATCTAGAATTGTGCTCAAAACTTATCCAGAGCCTCAGAGCTTGATTTTGCACAAAACAAAGAGTGGAGAAGACTGGCCAGGGGATCCTTCCAAAAGCACCAGAAATTACGTGTGTCCTACCCTGCGGCCCAGGCGAGTAAGCAGGCCCTCGTCATCCAGGGCCCCCAGGGTGTACAGCTGCTCCATGGCTGTGATCAAGGTTTCCATTGGTGGAGCATCCATGAAGTCAAAGGACAGAAGGTCATTGATGCCCATGGCCTAGAAGAGAAGGGAAGAAAGTATGTGATGGGAGGGTCAGCCTCGCCAGTGAAAAAAGACTACTTATTGGCTTTCTTTCCTGTTTCCTCAACAGCAATTAGCAAGCCATCAGCAAGGTTAGCAGCAACCTCCAGGGCTGGGCCACACAAACCTCAAGACTAGTAGAAAGCATGTACTTTCTCAGAAACTTTAAAAACACTCCTCAAGCCGGAACCGGCTTGGTTCAGTGGTAGAGTGTCCGTCTGCGGACTGAAAGATCCTTGACCGGGTTCGATTCCGGTCAAGGGCATGTACGTTGGTTGTGGACACATCCCTGATGGGGGGTGTGCAGGAGGCAGCTGGTCGATGTTTCTCTCTCATCTACGTTTCTGGCTCTCTATCTCTCTCCCTTCCTCTCTGTAAAAAAATCAATAAAATATATTAAAAAACAAAAAAAACACTCCTCAAAATGATAGTACATACGACTCAACAACAGGAAGACAACAATTAAAAAATGGGCAAAGGACCTGAATAGATATTTCTCCAAAGAAAATTAAAAATGGCCAAAGAAGCACGTGAAAATATATTCAACAACCCGGCCAGCATGGCTCATTGTTTGAGCATCGACCTATGAACCAACAGGTCACAGACTGATTCCCAGGTTGTGGAATGAATCCCCAGTGTGGGGCATGCAGGGGCAGCAGACCAATGATTCTCTCTCATCACGGATGTTTTTTTGTTTGTTTGTTTTGCTTTGCTTTTTTAATATATTTTATTGATTTTTTACAGAGAGGAAGGGAGAAAGATAGAGAGCTAGAAACGTCAATGAGAGAGAAACATCGACCAGCTGCCTCCTGCACATCCCCTACCAGGGATGTGCCCGCAACCAAGGTACATGCCTTTGACCAGAATGGAATCCGGGACCTTTCAGTCCGCAGGCCGATGTTCTACCACTGAGCCAAACCGGTTTCGGCATCATTGATGTTTTTATCTCTCTTTCCCTCTCCCTTCCTCTCTGAAATCAATAAAAATACGTTTAAAAAAGACAAGATACTCAACATAACTTGTGATTAGGGAAATGCAAATGAAAACCACAATGAAACTCCACTTCATACCACTAGGAGGATGGCTATTAAATAACACATACACACACACACACACACACACACACAGAAAATATTGGCAAGGATATGGAGAAATAGGAATCCCCATATATTGCTGGTGGGAATGAAAAACAATTTGGTGATTCCTCCATAAGAAAAACATAGAATCTCCATATCATCCAGCACTTCCAATTCCAGATATATAAAAGAATTGCAAGCAGGGCCTCAAACAGATACTTGTACACTAATGTTCAGTGGCATCACTCACAATAGCCAAAAGGTAAAATCCCCCAAATACCCATCAACAGATGAATGGATCAACAACACATGATATACACATACAATGGAATATTATTCGCCCTTAAAAAGGAATGAAATTTTAAAACATGCTACAACATGATGAATTCTGAAAATATTATGTTAAGTAAAATAAGCCAAATAAGCCAAATAAAAAAGAACAAATATTGTTTGATTCTACTTACATGAAATAAATTCATAAAGAACAGAAAGTAGAATAATGACTAGCAGGGGCTGGAGGGAAGGGAAAAGGAATAGTTGTTTAATAGGTACAGAGTTTCTGTTTGGGATGATAGAGAAGTTCTGGAAATGGGTAGCGGTGAGGGCTGCACAGCACTGTGCATGTAATTAATGCCACTGAACTGTACGTTTTAAAAGGTAACAATGGTAATGTGTTATGTATTTCACCATAATTTTAAAAAAATAAGACGATATGCCAGACTGCCCTGTCTCTTGCACACGTAATTTCCACTGTGCATCTAGGAAGTGTCATGTGTCATATTCAGTGGCAGAGATATGAAGATGACTGAGATACTACCCCTACGCTAAGAGTTCATAATGGTGAGATACAGACACAAGGCTCCATGCCTGGCACAGAGCAGGCCATCAATGCATTTGTTACCCTAATTTGATGAATAAAAAAAACAAATGAATGCTGTATTAACCAAGTGTGTACACAGGGTGATGTGGTAAGACCTAAGCTTTCTGTGTCTTTCCTATAAACTGATTGTGACCATAAACACAGCAGGTGTTCCAATAAATGTTTATTGCATGAACAATGACTGTAAGAAATTATGTTAGCAATCAGTAAGCAATGTGCCAACTGCCTCTACCTGGCATAATCTCATTTATCTCCACAACAGATACTATTAATAGCACTCCCTTTCGAGAGGAGAAAACCGACTAGAGGGCCTCGCAGGTAAATGTGTTAAGAACACACAGCCTGGAGCAGAAGTTTGAGCCACACATGCCTCTCTCTGTTCTCGCTCCGGAGACTGGAGCGAGTTTTCCTCTGAAGCTCCGTTGTAGCCTCTCTCCCAGGGAATGAATAATAGATTACAACAGAGCCGCCTGCACCAGCGAAGTGCCGGGCCTCCAGGGTAGCATCTGGGTTGGGGGTTGGGGGGTGCCATCATCTGGAAAATTACTCCTGTGGCTCCCCCTGCCAAAGGAGGATGAAAGTCCTCTCTGGGGCCTGAGGGAGGAGGAGCAATGATTCAGAATGAAAACCAAGCCCCGAGAGAGCCAGTCTGAAGCCTCCACTGAGAGCTCCCTCTGCAGTTTTTGGACGGGAGTTCTGCTTCCGTTCTAGAAGAACAGAATTGAAAGCTAAAGGGATGAAGGAAGTTATGTTTGTCCATAGTTTGGCACTGATTAGATTTTTCTAATATCCTTTTAGAAAATGCTCCTAACTAAAATCTTTTACAAGCAAACGTTCTGCTGGTTAGTATGGTAAGGAAGAAAAAAAAAATGTGTTCACAGCAAACATGCCATCTTAGCTCTAGACACACCGTGCAAAGGCCGTTATCACAGCCATCTGCATTTCACTCAAAGGGAATGGTTGTATGAGGGTACTGAAGTATTTGACAAGGTTCAGAAGACTGAGGTCAATTTACCAAGGCCACAGCATTGGACTATTCCACCAACCCATTCCAGCAAGACAGTGCTTTCTACCTTGAGCGAGAGCACTGTGCTGGCTAAGTTGGTTCTCTGGATTTCCGGCACGTTGGTGGTCAGCATTTCATCCCGGTAGGCTCGTTCTGTGTACAGCCTGTAACACTTCCCCGGGCCTGTTCTTCCAGCTCTGCCAGCTCGTTGCTTCGCCTGGGCCTAGAGGAGTAAGCACATAAAAGTAACAAATCTGTTAAACATCACCTAACAGCCTTACCCAGGAAATCCGTTAAAAGAGGGGTACTTAACTACTGGCAAAAATCCAAAATGGGGTTTATTTCACTTCCTTTAGGACCATTTCCAAGACTACCAATGTTATTATCATCCCCTCTCCAACACTCAACATTTCAGGAAAGTTTGTTCAAGTGAGGCAAATACAGATATACAAGGAGAATGGAAGAAATATTATAAAGATCACAGAAATATACCTTCAAAATAGTGTAGCACAACATAAAAGACAAAGCATAATACAAGATGACAGTCAATGCCAAAAGTGTAAGTGAACTAAAAGTTAATATTCTAAAGATGACTATGGCCATTTTAAAAATCAGGTTTAAGCTGAAACCGGTTTGACTCAGTGGTAGAGCGTCGGTCTGCAGACTAAAAGATCCCAGGTTCGATTCCGGTCAGGGGCATGTACGTTAGTTGCGGGCACATCCCGGGTAGGGGGTGTGCAAGAGGCAGCTGGTCGATGTTTGTCTCTCATCGACGTTTCTAGCTCTCTATCTCTCTCCCTTCCTCTCTGTAAAAAATCAATAAGATATATATATTTTTAAAAATCAGGTTTAATATCCTCAAAGCCAGAAGTAAATGTTCGCTCACATAGGCAAAAAAGCAAGTTATAAAACAATATAATACTGATTTTGTAAAAAAAAAAAAAAAAAATCTTTATGACCTAGTATAAAGTACCAGAAAGAAAAAGCTAAGGAAAAATACCCTGAAGTGTTAACTGTGGCTAACTGACAATAGGCTTGCAGATGGGTCCTATTTTCTTTACTTTATCAATATCCAATACTGAACATCTATTACCGTAATAACCAGGAAAATAAAATACTTAAACAAAAACATACAAAACATACTTACTAGACCACTGAAATTACAATCGTGAAATAAACAAAAATGAGAAAAGGTGTGTACAAGAAAAACATCGAAATTATGACAGTATGGTAGTAGGATTATGGGTAATTAAAATATTTTATATTTCTCAGAAATAATGTAATGTTACTTCTGTACTTAGGGGAAAGGAGTGCTAATTTTTGAATTTAAAAAATATACATATGGCCTGGCCAGTGTGGCTCAATTGATTGAGCATCGACCATGAACCAAGAGGTCTCTGGTTTAATTACCAGTTAGGGCACATGCCCAGGTTGTGGGCTTGATCCCCGGTGGGGGCATGCATAAGGTAGATGACCAATTTTTCTCTCATCAATGTTTCTATCTCTCTATCCATCTCCCTCCTTGCTCTCTAAAGTCAATAAAAACATATTTAAAAATTTGTGTATATATATATATATAAATACGTAGTTAGCCACAGGTTGCTGGGAAACATTGAATAGCAAACTGAAGGGGCCCATTTTTTGACAAAACCACCTGTCTTACAAATGGTAACAGGATTTACAAATTCCTATGTCAGCTCCAAACAAAGGATGTAGTATGAAAGGTCACTAACCACACAAAGGCAATCAGCAACCACACAAGGTGGCTGACGCCACAGCATTCCAAGATGTCTCTCCAAATGAGAGAGGCAAGTGTAACTAATTTCTCCATCTCTGTGCGTTGCCTGCACTACCCCGAGAAGTGGTACAGAGCACACAGACTGCCCAGGTTCAAATCCTGACTCCACCAGCTGTGACCTTAACCCCTCTGACTCAGTCTCATCTGAGAAATGAGAATAATAATATCTATCTTAAAGTATTGACACAGAATGTAATCCATTCGTGTAAGTGAAAGCACCTAGGACAGTGCCTAATAAGGCACTTAGTAAGTACCCTGCAAGTGTTAGCTACTATTACTTGAGTTGCAAAATGAAAATAGCCTGATGACCCTCGCTGGATAGAGCGTCGGCCTATGGACTAAAGGGTCCCAGGTTTGATTCCGGGTTGCAGGCTCGATCCCCAGTAGACGGCATGCAAGAGGCAGCCAATCAATGATTCTCATCATTGATGTTTCTATTTTACCTCTCCCTTCCTCTGAAATCATAAAAATGTTTTGTTTTGTATTGTTTTGTTTTTTAAAAAGGTTTGTTTTGTTTTGTACTTTACCCATTAACATAGTAACCAGCAGCACCAATGAAAAATAACCTCAACTAACATTTCAACTACATGCTTTCAAGTCTTGGGCAGATTCACACACACTGTGCACAAGGGCTCATCATCTATTTTTAAACAAAAGTTGGATTATACTACTCCTGCTAATTTGTAGCTCACTTCTTTCAAATAATATATCATATTTTTATGTTTCTGTCATTAAATATAGATACACACCACCATGTTAATGCCATATCACATTCTATGGCATGGATATACCATATTTTATTAATCTACTTCCCTTTGGAGGGAATTTTTCCAGTTTCTTTTAATATGAACAGTCATTTGGTGAACATTTTTTTGCATTACCTTTAAATTTGTATTCAACCATTCTTAACTTTCAGATATATTGGAACTGTTAGGTTAAAGAAATTATTTTTTAAAATGTTGGTTACGTTGTAACTGAACTGCCCTCAAAAAGGATAATCAGATTATTAGTTTTAAATATTTAGACAGAAAATTATTTCATAATTACCAAAAAACACATTATCATCTCATGAGTTGTTACTATCTCAGATATCTCTGGCTAAGTATAATACTTTAAAAATAGGTTCTTCGTGTGAGCATGTGGCTCCATGTTTGTACGGGGCTGGGGACACCAAGCTTTATTAAACATATCGAGTTCCTTAAAAAAAAAAAAAAAAAAAAAGGTTCTTGCCGAAACCGGTTTGGCTCAGTGGATAGAACATCAGCCTGCAGACTGAAAGGTCTCGGGTTCGATTCCAGTCAAGGGCATGTACCTTGGTTGCGAGCACATCCCCAGTAAGGGGTGTGCAAGAGGCAGCTGATCGATGATTCTCTCTCATCAACGTTTCTAACTCTATCCCTCTCTCTTCATCTCTGTAAAAAATAAATAAATAAATAAATAAATAAATAAATAAATAAATAAATAAATAAAATAGGTTCTGACTACCCATATTAGATAATCTATAATGCTAGGATTCAAACTTATTTTAAGTTCAAATTTATGGAGCTTTTTAATGTTGAAACACTATTCCAAAGATTAAAAACAAACAACACAAAACCTTTCTTATCTCATGAAAGCACCCAGGACCTTAAAAATTCATCTTTGAAAACAATAAAGTTCAAAATACGAAACCATAAAAGATGTCAGAAATGGACTGCCAGGGATTTTCAGGAAAGCTGCTGGAAGAAGCCGCCATACCTGAGAAATAGGAGTCACCACAAGCTGGTCGATCCCCGTCTTGGAATTGTAAACTTTCTGCTTCACAAATCCAGGGTCCACCACATAGTAGATGCCGTCGATGGTCAGCGAAGTCTCTGCGATGTTGGTGGCAATCACGACCTGCAGATGAAGGGGACACAGCTGGACTGAGCTAAGCGGGTTCACGCTGAGCTGTGTACTTTAAAGAGGTAGGAAATAGGACTTGTGAACTCAAACATCTTCCCAAACGAGTGTGCGGTAATCTCCCGCTCTATCTCAGTCTGGCTTCAAAAGGGGGGGTGCCTTCCTTTTAAGGGATAGCTTGGGACTGGAAAGGGGGGTGCGTACCTGAGAGGAAAAGTGGAATAGGAAAAAGCAAAGGCCACTCAAAGCCAATTTCATTTGATACAAATGGGTACATATCTCATTTTCTAGATCCAGTGTTGATTACTACAATTTTAATTTTCTAGCACCCTGGGAAAGCACAGACTTCCTGGCATCACATGTGCCAGGGCAAAATGAGATTTTTCTTCCCCCACGGGGACATCCGGACTACAAAATGGGCTGTTTGTGTATGTGGAACAAGAGGGAGTTTTTCTTCTTCCTAATCATAAAATGAACCATGAGGCAGCAGAGGAATTTCACAGTTTGTGTGCATGCAGCGGTATACGTGATCTAGAAAATTATTGGTCTCAGCTTGGCACTGCCACTGCTCTTCCACCCAGAGGTTCGGCTAATAAAACACAATTGCTTGGAAAAATCACTGCTAGGGGGCACCAGAACATCTCAAATCATGCCAGCACCTTCCTGGCTCTGAGAGGCTTCTACCTGCCACAGAGCTACAGAAGCCCTCTCAAAAAAAAAAAAAAAAAAAAAAAAAAAAAAAAAAGTCTAATCATCAGGAACAGAACAGAGAAGAAAACACAATCTCTCCCCCCAAACCTGCTCCTCTCCCATGTTTCCCTCCTCAGAACCATCTTCCATCCAGCTGCCCAAGCCAGAAACCTGGGAGTCAGTCATTCCTGATTTCTCCCCTGCCATTCTCCCCTACACTTCAGGCACCCACTATGTCTTGTCCAGTCTAACTCTTTAATATTTTTCAAATCCATCTGTTTTCCATTCCTAATGAAATGAAAACATTTGTTCACACAAAAACTTGTAAACAAAATGTTCATAGCAGCATTATTCATGATAGCTAAAACGTGGCAACAACCTAAATCCATCAACTAATGAATGGATAAACAAAATGTGGTACATCCATATTTTGGATATATAATAATATTCTGCAACTAGAGACCCAGTGCACAAATTCGTGCACCAGTGGGGTCCCTTAGCCTGGCCTGCAGGATAGGGCTGAAACCAGCTCTCCAACATCCCCCAAGGGTCCCAGATTGCGAAAGGGCACAGGTCAGGCTGAGGGACCCCACCGTTGCACAATTGGGGCCAGGGGAGACGTGGGAGGTTGGCCAGCCGGGGAGGGACTGCGGGAGGGCTCCAGGGCGTGTCCAGCTCACCTAGCTCAGCACTCAGTCCCAACTGGCGGGACCCCAGCAGCAAGCAAACCTACCAGTTGGAGCACCTGCCCCTTGGTGGTCAGTGCACATCATAGTGAGCAGTTGAGCAGCCTTAGCATATCATTAGCATATTATACTTTGACTGTTTGAATGGATGACCAGATGACTGGACACTTAGCATATTAGGCTTTTATTATATAGAATGTTTAACAATAAAAATAAATGTAATACTTATATATACTAGAACATGAATGAACTTTGAAAACATGCTACATCAAAGAAACTAGTTACCAAAGACCACAAAATTATATGATCCCACTTATATGAAACGCTCAGAATATGTAAATTCAGAGAGAAAAAAAACTGATTAGTGGTTTCCAGAGGTTGAACAGAGAGGTGAACAGAGGGTGATTGCTAAAGGATACAAGTGTGTTGTTGTTGTTGTTGTTTTTGGGGGGAGTGATAAAATTGTTCTAAAATTGTAGTGATTAATGATTAATTGCCATTAGCAATGGTAATTAATGATTGAACAATTCTGTGAATATACTAAAAACCATTGAATTGTATACTTTAAAGAACTTGCATGTTATGAAGATTATATCTGAATAAAACTTATTTTAAAAAATCCATCTCTCTCCTTTCCCAGTACCTCACACACACACACACACACACACACATGCACAGTCATTTCCAAATACTGGAACCTCACAGCTCCCTGAAATGGCCACTCTCTCTTGCCTCTAGGCTGTCACATGCTATGCTGTCTACTCGGAACACTTGTCCGCCCACTCTTCTTGCTTAGATGAACAACCACGTGTTCTTCAAGACTAGCTTGGACACTTACTTCCCATAAGAATACAGGGTTGGGTACTCCCGCTCTGGTATCCAGAGCACCAGTAGCTCTTTCACACTATAAGTTAAAGGCACATCTGCTGGTGGATGCCTCACAGCAGAGAGAGGCCTGTCTTCAAACTGCCCACCCTGGTTCTACCCCAAAGCCTGAAAGATGCTCAAAAAATATTTGTCCAATGAAAATGAGAAGATAAACAGGGATCACATACAAAACTCACATTCCTTAACTAACTGATTGGAGCAATCTCTAAGATATAATAAACAAGACTGACATATATCTGAGCAATCCCCATTAGGGCCAGCACAAGGGAGCTTCATTTCTGCCCAGGGTTACCTTTCTGCTGCCAGGTGGCGCTGGGTCAAAGATTCGGGTCTGCATCTCACTGGGAAGAGCAGAGTACACTGGGAGGATAATCAACTCTGGAACATCAGGCCCCAGGGATTTCATTCTTTCATACAGGATCTCACAGGCAGTGTCGATCTCCTCCTGACCCGTCAGAAAGACTAAGATGTCACCTAAGAAGAGAACAGGGCATTAATTTACTTTTTGTGTGTGTCTTCTATCCAAAGCCCATAATGACATTAATAGAGCGCCAGATGACAGAAAACACACTCAGATCCCAACCTCTAATAAAGAGGTTTTTAATCTATCTATTCTATTTACTTATTTATAATTCGTATCTACGTTTAAATAGGTGCATTAAATTCTGCACACCAATCTTTTTTCTATTTTTATCATCACCATTTCAGAGATGAAAGCCTGAAAGACATTTTTTAAAAGGCATTTTTAGAAAGCTGAATGAAAAAAATATTGTAACTACATTGACTTTTGGCCTAAGAGGGGAAAAAATCCTCTTTCTCCCTACCTGGTGGTTCTGTTAAATGGATCTGCATGACGGTGATCAAGCTGGCATCCAGATAATCTGTCTCGGGTTCCTTTGTGTACAGTATTTCCACTGGATATGTTCGACCAGGGATGGTGAAGATGGGAGCTTCATAGAAGTACTGAGAAAACTTCACTGCATCCAACGTAGCTGAGGTGACAATCAGCTTCATGTCCTGCCGCTTCTGAACTGTCTAAAGGGAAATGTGATATGGCTTATTAAAAAAACTACCCTGCCCAGCCGGTGTGATCAGTGGTTGAGTATCAACCTATGAACCAAGAGGTCCTGGTTCAATTCCCAGTCAGGGCACAAGCCCGGGTTATGAGCTCAATTCCCAGTAGAAGGCAGCTGATCAATGATTCTTTCATCATTTAAGTTTGTATCTTTCTCCCCCTCTCCCTTACTTTCTCTGAAATCAATTTTTTTTTTTTAATTTTTAAGTTTAAAAAAATTTTTATAAAGGACTACCCAAAAAGGCACAGGTACTCAAATCCCCAGAATTCAGTTCTCAACAGCGAGGAGGGTCACCAAAGTGCGCCCATTTACCTTCTTCAACAATCCAAAGAGCACGTCAGTGTGTATTGTTCTCTCGTGCGCCTCATCCAACATGATGATCGCATACTGTGTGAGGTCAGGGTCAATCAGGCACTCTCGGAGCAACATCCCGTCTGTCATGTACTTGATGACTGTTTCAGGGCTGGTACAGTCCTCAAATCGAATGGTATAGCCCACCTAACGCAGAAGTTCAAAATTTTAGACACAAATCTCTCCTTCGTGTAATCACCAGGCAAGATTTCAGCCCAGTCAAACCTTTACCATAATCTTGATAGACTAGAATTTAACCAAGATGTACGGTGATTTCCTCATAGTAAAATCGACCTTGGATTTGATGCTGAACATATCAATGACGACAATGAGAACCTCTCCCTCAGGAGAAACCTGAAAAAAGGCTGCATTTGTTCCCGCTTTATAGACAGAGATCTGAGACCTGGCCGTACCCTTTTTTCAGGGATTTTACAGATCAGCTTCACTACCCACATACCTCTTGGCCTAAGCAACAACCAAACTCCTCTGACACTCTTTTGGCCACTGACATGGCTGCCACTCTTCTGGGCTGGGTACATCCAATCTTGCCCCTGGAAGTGTAGCCCGCCTCCGCCAGATACTGGGTGATCTGCGTTGTCTTCCCAGATCCCGTCTCTCCGATAACAATCAGGATCTGATTGTCATGGACAGCCTGAAAGCCAACAGAATACAAATATGGTCATTAAAATTTGCCACACATTACTCTGGAGGAAATAATGAATGCGTAGGTCCTAACACTAAAAGAGAAAAAAGCATACACAAAAAAATCAATAAAATATATTTAAAAAAGAAAAAAGCATACACAATAGTTAATATACATATGGTAAGAGTACAACCAAGATGTAAGATTACATGCCTGGGTTGCGGGCTCAATCCCCAGTAGGAAGCATACAAAAGGCAACCAATCAAGGAGATTCTCTCTCATCATTGATGTTTCTGTCTCTCCCTCTCCCTTCCTCTCTAAAATATATATATGTATATATGTATATATATGTATATTTATATATATGGTATATATGTGTATATATATATATATATATATATATATATATATATTTTTTTTTTTTTTTTTTTTTTTTTAAACCCACTTGGGCTGAAAACAGTTTGGCTCAGTGGATAAAACGTCAAACTGCGGACTGAAAGGTCCCGGGTTCGATTCCGGTCAAGGGCATGTACCTTGGTTGCGGGCACATCCCCAGTAGGGGACATGCAAGAGGCAGCTGATCGATGATTCTCTCTCATCGATGTTTCTAACTCTCTATCCCTCTCTCTTCCTCTCTGTAAAAAATCAATAAAATATATTTTTTTAAAAACCCACTTGGAAATGTTCTGGATTTTTTCCTATCCCCTTTGGAAAAGTCATTTCACATACCTGTCCAGCTAATTTCAATTAAATCATGTCATCTTATTCCCAGACCAGTATATCATAAAGAGGCTTCTCACCTGGACCAGCTGCTCCTTCAGCTTGTAGATGGGCAGGCTCTCTCTCTGCTCAAGGATTGACATCTGGGTCTTTTTTCCATAAGAAGCTTTGTTGCCCCCAAAGGCATGCTTCTTCCACTCAGGGATGTCATTGGGCATCATCCCAATACCCCTCATGTTGGCAGCAATCTGCCTGCCTTCCGCTGTAAAGGAAACAAGTGACTTAATTTTGTCTTCAAGCTACCCCACTGTCCCTTCCTCCACATTCAACAAATCAGATCTCTCCAGTTCATCCCTCCTCTCTGTTAGCTCTGTGTTCAAGCCACCATCCTCTCCCCTCTGAGCTAGTATTATAAAAGCTTCCTAATTTATCACAGTGTCTATTCCTGCCATTCTTCAGGGCACTCTCAAAATCCTTTAGAAATGCAACTCTGATCATGCCACACTCCTGCTTAGAACTAAGCACAGACCTAGCCGCTTTGGCTCAGTGGATAGAACGTCGGCCTATGGACTGAAGGATCCCAGGTTCTATTCCAATCAAGGGACATGCCTGGGTTGTAGGCTCGATTCTCCAGTAGGGGGCGTGCAGGAGGCAGCTGATCAATGATTCTCTCTCATCATTTATGTTTCTCTCTTCCTCCCCCCCTTCCTTTCCGAAAATATATTAAAAAAAGAACCATGCAACATTTCCCAGTGAACTTCAGAATTGAGCCCTAATTCCTAATATCTACCGAGTCCTGGCCTTCCCCCTGCATCCCCATCACTCACCCACCCATCACTCTCTGCACTCCAGCCACACAGGCCTTCTGTCCCACCTCACAGCCCCAGCACAGGCTGGTCCTCAACCTAGAACACCCGCCCAAGCCCCCTTTAACAGACTTTCCCGGGAAAGTGACCCACTGCAGCCAACTACACTACCTGTACTTCTTCATACAGCACTGGTCATGATTTCGTTAGTTATTTGGTAATAATTATTTGGTAAATAATTATTTGATAAACATAAAATTTCCCACTAAGTTGTAAGTCTCATCAAAGCAGCAGTGTCCCCAGTTGCCTAACACAAATGAACAAAATACTTGTCCTGACTATATCCAGCCGTTAGTTAATATTTATTGTACAAAAAATTATATGAAAAGGGAAGTTTCAAAGCTGTGCTATTTTTAAGTTATCCAGTAGAAAAACTCAGCCAGTTTAATAATTTTATCAGGGTTACTAAAACATTTTGTATTTTAAACATTTGTTTAAAAAAAAAAAAAAAAAAACAAGCTTTAACTAAAGAAAAAAGCAAATCACCAAACCCAAGGCTAACTCTTTGGTATGTGCTGGCAGTGCCCCTCCCAGCATACTTTAAAGGGTCAGATTTTTTTTTTATTTTTTTAAGTTCATACCCCCCTCTTAGGGTCCTACCATCAGGCAAAGGATCCACCCAGTGTTTGTTGAGTCCCATGGGAATAGAGTCCATCTCGGCTTCCCGCTGGGCTTGCTTGAGTTCCCGCCTTTCTTTGGCCAGGGCACTCTGCATCATGGCTGCTTGAGAGAGCGAGCCATCGGGGTTCTAATGCAACAGACGACAAAGCAACGTCAGAGTGGGGTCTCAGCATGCATTAAACGTGCAGGAAATAAAATGTGGGTGTGAAACCACTTGAATCTAAAGAATAAGACCCACCTAGGAAAAAAGTTAATATCAACATTCCAGACAACATGAAAGAAAGTGTAGCTAATTCAGAGAAAAAGAACAAGGACAATAATAAATCCTGAAGGAATTGCAGATGTTGACTTAAAATTGAAAACCCCAAGAGAGATAGAACATATAAGAAAGGAATAAAGCCCTAGCTGGTTTGGCTCGGTGGATAGAGCATTGGACTGCGGATTGGAAGGTCCCGGGTTTGATTCCGGTCAAGGGCACATGCTCGGGTTACAGGCTTGATCCCCAGTAGGGGGCATGCAGAAGGCAGCCAATAATGATACTCTCTCATCATTGATGTTTCTCTCTCTCTCTCTCCCCCTCTTCCTTCCTCTTTGAAATCAATAAAAATATTTTTTAAAAATAAAGGAATAAAAATTCTTCTGAATGGACCCAAGAACTAAAATGAAGACCAATGTTGCCCTGGCTGGCGTGGCTCAGTGGATAGAACGTCGGCCTGCGAACTGAAGGGTCCCAGGATGGATTCCAGCCAAGGGCACATGCCTGGGTTGCGGGTCGATCCCCAGTGGGGGAGGGGGAGTGCATGAGGCAGCTGATCAATGATTCTCTCACATCATTGATGTTTCTATCTCTCTCTCCTTCTCCCTCTCTGAAATCAATAAAGAAATATATACTTTTAAAAAAATAAATAATAAAATAAAATGAAGACCAATGTGGACACTTCTGGAAGACAGATTTCAGTTCCACCTGAAGAACTAATGATCAGATCCACCTGCAGGTGGAATGAGCCTCCTTAGGGCTGTGAATTCCCTGTTCTCCAACAATATCAAGCAGATGTGAGAAGACCATATGGAGGAACACAGCAGAAGGATACATGGGTGAATACAAGCACTGAATGGGTGGCTGGGCTTAGAGACCTTTAAGATAACCCGTTTCCAAATCTAAAATTTTATCTTAACTGTCCCATGAATTCTCCTCCTGACAGATAGGCCACAACACCCAGTGCCAATAGCTTCATGTTAGGGGCCAACAGCAAGCGAACCCTTCCAAATTGCCTTTGACTATGCAAGCCCCAAGGCCTGGACATAATTGTGATGGTAGATCAAGCACACATATTTATCTCTGCCTCCTCAAAAAAAAAAAGAAAGAAAGTAAAAGAATTACAAGGCAACAAGCAGGATCAATATCCTTTTAAAATAAAAAATATTCTAGACCCTAATCAACAGTCAATACTACCGCCTGTGGCCTGAATTCTGCTTACACGGATTAATAAACTGCTGTGAAAAACTGAATTCTTACATTGAAAGAAGTTCACTTGGCCAGTCCAGATTAGAGTCCCCACACTCCTCACCTTAACAATTTTAATGGGACTCATGTCCATGCTTTGCTTGGTGTGCCCTCTCAGGAAGGGAGGCTCTTCTTCAACCAGTTCGATCTCGAGGTCCTCATCTAAAATCCCCCCAAAAAGAAGAATTAGTCAAAAACAAGAGAAAAGTGACCAACCATTTTCTTCAAAAGGATTAATTTCCATAGGCGCCAGCAATCATTACCAAATCTGGCTCCCAAAGTCAAAAGGACAGAAATGCAAGTAAAACCATACCCAGGTGTCCTGTTACCCCAGGTCTCCAGCCATTTCTAGGGCATTTGTGCGCCCACCCAAGAACTAACCAGAGGTACTTTCAAAAGACATTAAGCCTGTGGAAATGCTGCTCTGATATTCTTAGATGGTACTAAGGTACTTGCCATCCAACTTAATTATGGAATTTATTCTTAACCCACAATAGAGTTGCACACGCAAAAGAAGAAAGAATTAAGTTGAACAAAGGAACAATATCAAATGTTGGCAAGAATGTGGAGCCATAGGACTCTGTTGATTTGGCTCAGTGGATAGAGCATCAGCCTATGAACTGAAGGGTCCCAGGTTCGATTCCGGCCAAGGGCACATGCCCATTTGTGGGCTCAATTCCCAGTGAGGGGCATGCAAAAGGCAGCTGATCAGTGATTCTCTCTCATCATTGATATTTCCATCTCTCTCTCTCCCTCTCCCTTCCTCTCTGAAATCTATAATATATATATATACATATATATACATATATATACATACATACATATATATATATAAATGTGGAGCAAAAGGAACTCAGTCACACTTACATTAGAAATGTAAATTGATACAAAAACTTTAGAAAACAATTTGGTCTACTGGTAAAGTTGAACATGCACATTTCCATCCATCCAGTAATTCTTCTCAATATTTAGGAAAAAAGAGAAGGTCTTGCATAAGTGCAGTAAGAGACAAGTATAGGCATTTTATAATGACATTATTCATAAAGGTAAAATAAAGACCAGAAACAGCCCATATGCCCATCAAAAATAAAATAAATTATGGTAAATTTAGATAGAGCAATACTTTATAGCAATGAAAATGAGATACAACTATAAAAATCAACATAATTACCAAAAGAATGACAATGAATCGAAAAAATTAAGTTAAAAAACAAACAAATGTTTAGGGACAAATACGTAGATAGCAAAATGTTAGTAAGAGGAAATGAGTAACACAAAATCTAAGAGGGTGGCTGCACAGAGAAAGGAGAAAGATCTAATCAGAGGGATATGTAGGGGGTCAAAGGTGCTAGTAAAGCTCTACTTTACTGGTAGGTAGGTGTGTAGATGTTCATTTAGTAGGTGCTCATTTACTATTGTTATACAAATTATAGATGTTACGTTATAGGATTATGTCACTTTTTTTTTTTTTACAGAGAGGAAGGAAGAGAGAGAGAGAGCTAGAAACGTCGATGAGAGAGAAACATCGACCAGCTGCCTCCTGCACATCCCCTACCGGGGATGTGCCCGCAACCAACGTACATGCCTTTGACCGGAATCAAACCTGGGACCTTTCAGTCCGCAGACCAATGCTCTACCACTGAGCCAAACCGGTTTCGGCTATGTCACATTTTTAAAAAATTGTTAATAGGCCGAGTTAAAAATTGTATCTAGGGCAACTCTGAGTTCATGTAAGTGGATCCAGTGTTTTCAGAACAATTACTATGAATATGAGATCAAATTTAATTCTTAAAATATAATTTAACATTTTCTATCTTGAAAACTTATTATAAGCAACAAGCATAATAATATACAAATGTTTGCCAGAAACATGAATATTTTTGCTTCCATCAGGGAGAGACCCTTGTTCTTAGATGAGTGGTGAGACCCAAGGAACAAATGATTCAGAATCACTGGACTAAACTACACAAAAAGCACCTTATCCAATAGTTCAACTTTCCAACTTTCCTCCCAATCCATTGTCCTGCTCAATCCCAGTGGCTAGTTACCTTCTTCATCATCCACTTTAGGAAGAATGCCAGTCTCTTCATCAAAGTCTGGAAACTCTTCTTTGGAAAGAACATTAGCAGCAATCATCTAGCCAAAGGACAGAAAGCAGCATTTGTAATTTGCTAAGATCAAAACTCTTCTTTCATAGGAGAATTCATACAGAGGTTTCATGTAGAAAACTAAGATTTGCCGAAACCAGTTTGGCTCAGCGGTAGAGCGTCGGTCTGTGGACTGAAAGGTCCCAGGTTCGATTCCGGTCAAGGGCATGTACATTGGTTGCGGGCACATCCCCAGTAGGGGGTGTGCAAGAGGCAGCCGGTCGATGTTTCTCTCTCATAGATGTTTCTAGATCTCTATCCCTCTCTCCTCCTCTCTGTAAAAAATCAATAAAATATATTTAAAAAAAAAAAAAAAAAAACTAAGATTTTTCTTCTCTTCTAACCCAGGATTGCAGAGCCTCAAACATCCCCCATTCCTGGGGGACAAGACAACATGGTGCCTGAAAGCCTGGCTCAAGTGTTTCTTCCCCAGAAGAGTTATTGCTAATTCTGCTCTTTTCCTTAGTTCCATAGCATTCTACACAATCCTTATGTAATTTGTAAACCTTCACAATTTTTTGTTTCAATTTGTCTCTTCTACTGGACTTGGGAGTTCCTCAAAGGCAGGGACCATATCTTTGTAGCCCTAGCATCTACATAGTACCTGGGACACCCAAGGTTCCAATATTTACTGATGAATGCTAAAAACAAGAACAAAAATTTACATAGCATACCACTAACACTAAGGCACTAACCTAAGAGGTTTACTTCTATTAACTCACTTAGTCCCCACAAGCCCACCACCGACTGTTTTACAGAAAAGCATACGGAGGCACAAGGAGGGAGAATAACTTGGCTTAGAGTCACACAGCTAGTAAGTGGCCAGAAATCACCCAGGCCATCAAGCTCCAGGGCCCTCACTCTTAACCACCATGCTACCTACTGAATGGCTATGTGGCTATGAAAGTAAACGGCCCCAACCTGTTTGATCTCCCACTTCTCTGGGTCAGAGATGCGGGTGAGGCGCTTGCGCTCCAGCGAGTCATCCTCTACTTCAGGGGCACTGACGAGGGAGAGGTGGGTGGGTCTGTCCGGATTCCTCATAGAAGTCTCCTCACTGGTCTCCCCTACAAGATTTCGTCGTCGATTTGGGTTTAGATCTTCCCCAGTCTCTTGATCCACATCCTAAGGCACACAAAACATGAAGCCAGCTCACTTGCTGTCCTGTTATGTGTCCTGGGCCATCAGATGTGATTACCGGCTGGACGTCTCACCTACCTTCATGCTCAAACTGGTCTTGGTCCCAGTGAAGGACAAGACTTTGACCTTGACTCTCTGGCCTTTGCTCACCACATCAGCCACATTAGCGACTCGGCCTTCCCGCCGGAGCTCGGAGATGTGCACCAGGCCTTCCCACCGCTTCCTGAGGGAGTCAGACACATCGAAAGCATATCTAAAGCATCTTTCCCAACAGACTTCTACGCTTGTTGGGACTGAACAAAGGGAAATGGTCTTAAACTCGAGGAAAGCAACAAGAAGGTGGTCAAACAATAGAATAGCATTATAGTATTGCCACCCTCCCTCCCAAAAACATGAGGAAGCAACAGGGATAAGAAGTGAGCAAATTCTTATCTGTCTTAATCAGCCGAAGGGAAGATCTCCTGCGGACAGAGGGAAGAAGAAATGGCTCTGCAACGTGAAGTCAATTTCTAATCAACTGATATGGCTGATTTAAGTGTCATTAATCATAATAACTTCCTATAATGTGAAAACCCTCAGTGATAAAAAAAGAAATTCTGCCCATTACTGGTGTGAAAGGGCACTAGCCATTACCTTAGTCCCTCTAGCTGCACAAAGCATCCAAACTGCATGATGCTGGTAACTTTGCCATTGTAAATGTCCCCGATAGCGGGCTCTTCCGGGGGAGGGCGGTCCACGTGCTTATCCCGCCATCTGTCCAGGTTCCTCTCCCCGTACTTGTCTCGGTCCTTCCGCTCTTTGGGGGGACTCTGACTTCTGCTCCTGGACCGGTATCTAGACTTCCCTTTATTCCTCTCCCGAGAGCGGGACCGGTGTCTCCGCTTGTGGTCTCGATCGCGGTCTCGTTCTCTATCGCGATCTCGGTCCCGGTCCCGGTCACGCTCCCGGTCTCGGTCTCGGTCTCGCTCTCGGCTCCGGCTCCGCTTCTTCTTCTTTGTCTTGTCCCTAACAAATCAATGAACACCTGTGTAAAAAGAAACCAGCCCAATTCCACCTCCATATCCCCAAGGCCCAGCACAGTGCCATGCACCTGGTTAAGTGTCTTCTAAGAGTTAAACTGCATTATAATTTCAATACCTATGACATCCCTGCAGGTTAATAAAGAATGAGGCCATAAACATATTCATGTCCATACTTCTGTCATCTTAGCATTTGCTGCACACGTCCTCTTGACAGGGAACAATACAAACAGATCTAATAATATGGTAATGGCCAGTCTAGATTCTGTAAACTAGCCCAAAATTTTACTTGGCTGGTCCAAAAAATTCAACTACCACAGTACGCTAAACTTCCAAAAGATAGGGCATCAAGGACAAACCGGTGCTCGGCATTTCTTTGCTTCGCCTGGCCCGCTGCGCTGGGCATTAAAGCCTCCAGTTCTTTCAGGACATCCACAGCGACTTTCACATCATCCTCATCCAGCATGGTCTGCAGAGGCAGCGGCAGCAAAGTTAGGAGAAGAGGTGGGGGAGAAAATCACTCAAAAATCTGTACTTCAGGAACATTTGAGATCTTGTTTTCTGACAATGTCCTCAGTTTGGCTCAAACACACACACACACACACACACACACACACACACACAAATCTGTACTTCAGGTACTACAAATCTGACAGTCTCTACATTGCTGACAGCTTATGTAAAGGAAGTGGGGAGGGCAGTGCAGGGGAGACAGGGGGAAGGTGGAGATTTCCAACACAATTTGAGATAGAGGCAGAGGATTGAGCAAAGGCTCTTGGAAGTCATTTCTACATTTGGCAAATCCCCTTTGTCCTTAATGCAAGGCTACAGAAGGAAATTAGATATCGCCCCTTCTGTGAAAGCCATGCAAATGACGATTATAAATAGAAAATAGATGCTAAAATTTTTAAAAAGCAACTCTCCCTCTGCATTTCCTTCTCCCCTTTCACCTGCTTGATTTTTTCTATAGTTCTTATCCCTGTCAGCTACATATACATACATGTGTACTTATTTGTTGACTGCCTATCTCCTCTCTGCTAGAGGAGTTTACATATTTATTTCCTGCCCCCATCCCAATACTAACATGTAACCATGTCTAAGAGGGCAGAAACTCTAATCTATTTTGCTCACTGCTGTATCCTTGGCACTTAGAACAGTGCTTGGCACATAGTAGATACTCAATAAATACTTGCTAAAATAAAATTTCAAAACCAAAACATTTCAAAAATTAGACATTCTAACAGATAATGGAACAAAAAAAATCTAATTTTACACATCAGGCATCTGTTCCAGAACCTTAAGTTATTTCATATCTATTTCATATCCCTAATCACAGCTTTCCACAATTCCTAATCTCATTTCCTTCAAATATCATTCTTGAACCCTTTAACACTATTCTATAAATAATATGTGCTCAGGGAGTGATCAAACATTTTCACTTTGAAAAATATATTACAATAAAGGAAAACTTAAAATAATAAGTAATGGGAAAAAAAAAAAAAGAGAAAGAACAATTAACAACTAATGAGACAAAGAAGAGACCGGTTGGGGATAACATGCACCGATAGTAGACATTCTCAAAATGGTATCCGTACCCGAACAGAAGGGTTGTCTGGTTGACAAAGGACTGGAAAGAGTTCTTTCAGCTTTTCTTTCTCAGTTTTGGGTTTAACAACTGGATCTTGTTTCATTCAAGAGCATGAAAGGATTTAAAAAAAAAACCACATATTTAATATTCTTAATGGCTAACAAAATAACTTCATGAGATTTGCATCAAACTAACAGAACATGGAACTTTTCTACATATTACTCTTATAAATCACTGGAAACATAATTTAATTTTCTAAAAAAAAAAAAAATCTATATTTAAAACCCTAATATGCAAATAGACCAAATGGTAGAACAACCAAACAATAGGTCACTATGAGGTCACTGACACCAGGAGGTACATGGGGAACATGGCATCAGCGGTGGTGGAATGGTGGAAGAGATGAGCAGGGGCGCCAGACCAAGGCAGGGCACTGGTCAGTCATTGGGGCAAGCCTCTGGTGGTTACGGAAAATTCTTTGCTGCTGCATGCCACGGTCCCACTGGGCACTCGCACCTGCTGCCAGTGCCCGGTGCTGGTCCAAATCACTCAGCACCTTCAGCAGGTGCAAGCAACAGCTACCAGCCCCAATTACCCCTGAGGACTTCTCCACCTCCCCCTGCTCCTGAGGGGCAATCAGGGCAGCAATAACTGCTCACACCCACTGATGACATCAGCCCTGCTCGCACCTGATGCTGATGCTGACCCCAATCGCTCCCCACTGTTAGCAGGGTGAGCAGGGCCAATGCAGTCAGCACGTGGGAGCAGCAGCAAAGGGAAGGGGGGCTGCCAGCAGACAGGGACCAGGAGCTGCAGTGGGTGGGGCTGGGCAGGGGCATGGAGGATGGGTGAAGACCCTTCATTGTGCTCACCACAGACTCACGGCCCACAGTTCCTTTCAAGGTGCACCTAGTTTATTATAAAACCTCAACAAACTTGTGGGCATCGAGAAGTGCATCAGTATTCATTTGGTTGGTTATGTCTTATAATTCTCACAATTTTAATTTTATTTTAAGTCATTTGAAAAATTGCACTACAACATTTACTTGTTCAGCAGCTGCAACAAGTGAAACAAATACCATATTCTTAATGGTTAACAAATGAACTTCCACACTAGATTTACATAAAACTGAAAACAGAATGCTTGACAATCTAAACCAATCTGGAGGCTAAGCTCAGCTAACAGCTCTGCTCACCTTTGCTAGTAGAAGGCTTTGCTGGAGGCCGCATGGTTTGTATGAGACGCAGCAAGTTACTAATAAGAGAATCCTGTGAAAACAAACAGAACAAAAATCGTCAGCTCCTGCATCGGTGCTTAAAAACACTAAGTTTAGAGAAGAGCGGTTATCCCTGCCTGCCCCATTTTTCTAGAAAAGTATCACAAGAAACCCAGTTACATCACCACTGCTTAGTGGCAGGAAAACATTACACCTGATTGTCTAACCCCTGTGCTGTACATCTGAAACTGGTATAGAATAATATTGAATATAAACTGTAATTGAAAAATAAGAAATTACACACTTAATGTATTAGAATGGTATGTACAAAGTATCTCCTTTCTCTATCAAAACCCTAATTAAATCCTATCAAAATGAAAATTCAATAGTGACAGTAAAATAAAGCAGGGGTCTCCAGACACACATACCGTGAATTCTGCGCCATTTTTGACCAGAGAAGTCTTAAAAGTATCAAAGGTGGTATTTTTCTCAGCAAGACTGATCACAAATTCAGCTGCAAATGAGAAAAGAAATTAAAACAAGAATGGAGACTTGAGAAAAAAAAATCATTTTAAAAAATGTTATAAACAAAACTAACTATGTTATCCAAAGTCATAAAAACCAAAGACCTCCATCCAGCAAGGGTGAAGAAAGAGAACTTAAAACTACTGAGATTATCCATGTAGGTTCCAGTTAAATTTTTTTCAAGACCTCATTGGCTTTATTAAATGATTCATGAGTCAGGCAGCATCCCATCTAATAAACAGAAAAGTCTCCTTATTCTAGTTCATCCTTTTAAATCCTCACCCCAGAATATGTTTATTAATTTTAGAAGAGAAGGGAGAGTGAGAAACATCGACTGGTTGCCTCCCATACGCGCCCCAACTGGGGATCAAACCTGAAAGCTAGGTATGTGCCCCAAACCTTTTCGGTGTACAGATGATACCCCAACCAACTGAGCCACCCAGCCAAGGCTCCAGTTAATTTTCACAAAAAGAAAAGCTGTAACTACAAAATGGCTCACCAGGCCTCTGAGTGAACTTAAGGGAGGAAGACCTCCTTGCCCCACATCATCAGAATCTCTTCCATGAAACTACTAGCTAGAGGTTACAACGTCTGAAAGCATGAGCCCATACATACACCCACACATACACACACTCACAAGGGATGCATGCACAGGATGCTTTCTCCAGTTTTTGGAAAGGCAGACTCTACATATGAGGGTCGGGCAATTGCTGGATGGCACAATCTCCAAGTTAATGAAAGACTCACTCCCCCCCACCCCACATTTTTCTCTGAACACCTGCCTAGTCTTTGAAACTTCTACTGTTAGAGCTACTTAATGATAAAGAGACTTCCAGGAAAAAAGTGCATTTTATGATAAGCTGAGATAATATGCTTCAAACTGTGAGTCCTGCGAGGAAATTTGAATGATTTCATTCGGATTTTAATCCTAACAAATAATACTACCATGGGAGATCTGAATCAGTCCTAACATGCCATTTCCACGCTGGAATTTGCCTTTACCTGTTTGATGACAATAAGTGGAAACCAAATGCCATCAGGCTACCATGACCTTAATAACAACAGGTGCCAATGGTTAAGACTGTTTGACCATCTACTATATGCCAATCACTATGCTAAGTGCTTCCCATGATCCTCACAATAAGCCCTCACAGGTCATTATTGTGGGGTATCTTAGGCCAGGTCAGGCCGCCCCAAGATATCCCACAACGGCATTTTAAAGTTACTCATCAAGCAGCAAGTGCAAGAAGAGTAATGTCTAACATCATCATCAACAACAACAACGATGCACTGCTGTTAACGCTGCTTAATTTATTTGGGGCTGGGGAAAAAAAAAAAAAAAAAGAAAAAGCAAGCAGCGATGGCCGCTCTGGGTTTCACTGACAGCCCTAGAAAATGGTTTCTAACAACTCCACCGGGAGAGCTCTTAGGCGGAGGCCACGGCCGCAGGTTTCCTGAGCCCAAGTCTCTGACATAGAAAGAGAGAGAGAGAGAGAGAGAGAGAGAGAGAGAGAGAGAGAGAGATTCCTATGGACACACACTCAGCCCCTCAACCCACTTCTTCCGCTTCCCTGGACCCCAAACCCGGAGGCCCGAGCTCACCCAGATCCTTGTCGTTGATCCCCAAGTGATTGTCCAACTCGGTGCACACCTTCGACACTAACGACAGATACTCGAGTTTGGCGAGTTCTTCCGCGGGGCCCAGCTCCGTCCCGTTGACGGCTCCCACCATGGCCACAGCCACCGCCATGGCTACGGCTCCCCCCGCCTCCTCACGGCTGGCCTTCGGAGCTACGCCGGCCCGGTTCCGAGTTCCACTTCCGGGTCGGCGCGCGTCCCTTTTGTTTACGATACATTGAAAACTCCGGGAACCTCCCGTGACGTAGCCGGGCGGACCATAGAGATGAGACAGGAAGTGCTTAAGGAAGGGACGGCCGAGTGTGTTCCTCTGCACGCCGGTTGGCGCCCTCTATAGGCCAGCGAGGGTTTTGGAGGACTCCCAGGCCCGGACACAGTCACGCTCAGCGCGTTTCTTTCCTGCGTCGGCAGAGGGCGACCGTGGCCCGCGAAAAGGGCGCCGAGGAGGTCAGGATCCACACGCGCCTTGAAAAGAGAAACCCAGGTAGGGGTCCTCCAAGATGGCTGCGCCCAGGTGAATACCTAGCTGCAGCCTCACACAACAATTTCAATAAAATACAACTAAAATATAAAACGGACATTATCCAGAACTACAGGAAAGTTGACTGACTGGAAATTCTACAACGAGAAGCAAGGAGAAAACCAGAAGGAAGCGCGGAGGAGCTGGAAAAGCCCAAGGTACGGAGACACGCGGCGCGCGGAGAGGACGGAGCCGGAGAGGAGGGCGGCTGAGTGCCTGGCTGGCGTTCCCCAGCGGGAAGGAGATAAAACTCTGACTGTGCTGGGCCCCCGACTGCTCTGAACCCCAGGCCTAGGCCAGACCCCGGGGACCCAGGCTCACACAGAGGGAGCCGGGCTGAAAGGCGGAACCCGGGGAAGCGGCGAAAGGGGGTCCCGACGGCGGCGGCGGCGGCGCGCAGTGCGCTCAGAGAAGGGCCGGCCGGCTGTGCCGCGGGAGTGCCTGGCGGGAAGGAGACAGGGGCTCCAGACTGCTCTGAACGCCACCTCCAACTCCACTTCCAACTGAACTGAGCCCCAATACCGGGCTCATTGGGGAGAGCATTGACTGTTTGGCAGCAGGCGAAAATCGAGGGCACCTTTCTCTCAGAGGCGCTGGCAGGGAGCACTGAAGGACCCGCATAGGGCGGGGCTGAGGGAAGCCAAAGCTGCAGGCTCCACCCTGAAACCCCGCCCCATCTGTAACTGTGAAATGCGACAACGAAATAGATCACAAACGAAAGAAATGGAGGACAAAAAGCGGCTGGATATAGAGTTCAAATCTACGCTTATAAGGTTTTTCAAGAATTTCCTAGAAAAGATGGATAAGACCTATGAGGATATGAAAAGAAATCAACTAGAATTAATAAGGAGTCAACAAGAAATGATAAGGGAACAACAAGAAATAAAGAATACATTGTCTGAAATAAAAAATATTTTACAGAGTCCTAAAAACAGAAGGGAAGATCGCAAGAATCAAGTCAAAGATTTGGAACATAAAGAGCCAGAAGACACTCCTTCACAGAAGCTAGAAGGCAAGAAAATCCAGAAAATTGAAGATAATGTAAGAAACCTCTGGGACAACTTCAAGCGAACCAACATCAGAATTATGGGGGTCCCAGAAGATGAGAGAGAGCAAGATATCGAAAACATACTGAAAGAAATAGTGACAGAAAACTTCCCCCACCTGGGGAAAGAATTAGACTTACAAGTCCAGGAAGCGCACAGAACTCCAAACAAAAGGAATCCAAAGAGGACCACACCAAGACAAATCATAATTAAAATTCCAAGAGCAAAAGACAAAGAGAGAATATTAAAAGAAGCAAGAGCAAAGAAGGTAGTTACCTATAAAGGATCACCTATACGATTGTCAGCTGACTTCTCAACAGAAACCATGCAGGCCAGACGGGAATGGCAAGAAATATTCAAGGTGATGAATAGTAAGAACCTACAGCCAAAGATAATCTATCCAGCAAAGCTATCACTCAGAATCGAAGGTCAGATAAAGAGCTTCACTAATAAAAAAAAGCTAAAGGAGTTCATCAACACCAAACCAGACTTATATGAGTTGCTGAAGGGAGTTCTTTCAGAAGAGAAAGTAAACAAAGATAAAAATTATGAACAACAAATACGTAACTATCAACAAGTGAATCTAAAAACCAAGGAAATTAAAAAAAAAAATCTGATGAACAATAGTAACTGTTGAATATAATAGAATCAGAGGTATGGAAGGGGAGTGAACTGACGATTCTTGGGGAAAAGGGGAGAGGGGGGTGTGGGAAGAGACTGAACATAAACTGTGCACCTATGGATGAGGACAATGGGGAGTGGGGAAAGGGCAGAGGGTGCGGTGGGAACCTGGTGGAGGAGAGCAATAGTGGGGGGTGGGGGGGAAGGAACATTTGTAATAATATGAACAATAAAAACTTATTTAAAAAAAAAACAAAACAGTAGGGCATTGGACCATATGAAAGCTTACTATTATGTTAAACTCTTAATAGCAGGAAGATGTTCTCATGATGCCTGAATATATGGGGTACATTAAAAAATATTCTTAGCTAAAAAAAAAAAAAAAAAAAAAAAAAAAAAAGAAAAGAGAAACCCAAATTCACTGGGAAGAGGCAAAACTTGCTTCACAACAGATCCCTATATTCCCAAGGCTTTGCCTCTTCATGGCTCATGACCATCCCAGGCGACTCTGTATCAAACCAGAGGGCAATGGAGTCTACTTCTGTGATTAACTCATTTTATACGTGAGGAAACGGACAAGTGATCTTGGGCAAATTCATCTCAGGGGCCTCCGTTTTCTCTTCTGTTCATTGGGATGATGATGCTCTAACTGGGGTTAGGGAATGACTAAATGAGATAGTTATGCAAGGAGCCTGGCGCAGTAAACCCACTCCACATGGCAGTTACTAAGGAAGTCCTTAGGCCAAACAATGGTCACTATAAAGTTTGTCAACCACAGATTCCCCTCAGTCTGAGTGCCCAGAATGCCACCTGACTCCTCTCTTGTGAAAACCACTTCTCAACCCTTGGTTTTCTTCATGCTAATGGTGCTAATAGCCTCAGTCCTCTCAGAACTTGTACCAAAAAATATCTGCTTTGCTGTGAGCCCAATGTCATAAGCTCAGGTCCTCCAATTTCCGCTTCAGGTTCCCCTTTTCCTTTTCCGTAACTCAATGCCGAGGGGAGGATTTTCCCACACCTCGCTGCTCTGTGCGATGAACAAGGAACCCGAGGCACCCCCAACGTGAGGAAATCGGATTCTTTTGCTTTTAGCTTCAGGCTACATCGCACTGCTGCACTTTTGGAGTCTGTTCATCCAACATCTCACCATGCACTAAAGAATGGCAAGGACAAAACACTGGAGTGGTAGTCCTCGCTGCCTCCAAGAGCTCCATGTTTCCAGGTTCCTAAAAAGTCAGTACTGGCCCGACCCAGTTTGGATCAGTTAAAAGAGCGTTGGCCCGAAGACTCAAGTGTCAAGGGCACGTACCTCTGTTGCAGGCTTGGTTCCCTGCCAGGGATGTGTGCAGGAGACAACCAATCGATGTATCTCTCTCACATTGATGTTTTTCTCTCTGTGACTCTCCTCCTCCTCCCTTCCACTCTTTCTAAAAATCCATGGAAAAATATCCTTGGGTGAGGATTTAAAAAAAAAAAATCAGTACTGTACTATCTAACCTCTTCCTACCCCTCTCCTTTCTCTTCCTCCTTTTCCCCAAGTGTAGAATGGAAAATCCTGCACTGATTCCACAAGCTCAATTTGCCAGTTTGGACTTAGGATAGCATGGGCTTATTCCATTTGACTTCCTTTCTTTGTGCTTCTTTGCCTTTAAGTTGGATTTACATTCTGCTTTCCTCAAATACTTAACTGGAAGGGGGGGGGGGGGGGGAAACCTGGAGTTTGTTTTGTTTTAAAAGCTCTGTGAGGGGTGGGGGGGGGGAGGCTACAGAACCATAACATGTAGCAAGAGTAACAATATAAGACTATAAAACCTTTGCTAATTATTTGAAAATTATTGAACATTTATCTCCATAGTAAATATTAACAGCAAAACTTGTTAAATTTTATTTACATGTGCCATTAAATGCATGTTTTCCGAAGTGAACGTTTTTTATGCAACACACATATTACCTGCTACACCACGGAATTTTTTCTTAAGCTGAAGGAGAACAAGTAAATACATAGATACTGACAACGTGACAGCCCAAACACAGATGCATGTAGAATCCTACTGTGAAGGAAAAGGGGGTGCTGTAATAAACTCTAAATTCCTAACTGGGCAGGTCATGGTGAGCAGTCATGCCCCAGGCCTATAACTTTTCTAAGGAAAAATTTGTAAGCCAGCCCTCTCCACTGTTCTTGTGCATCTAGGTTAATATGCCTTTGAAATGCCAGAATGAATACCCCCTCAAAGATGTAACCACCCTCAAGAAAGCACAGAATTCCTGCTTTGACTTCTCCCACCTACATGTAATTTCCCTGTGTTCCCTCAATTTCACATGCATTAAAGAGACTGTGAAACTGTCATTCTCCAGAGCATTTGAGATCTTGCTTCTCAGCACTGTCACGGTCAGTTTTAACTCAAATAAATTCATAAAAATTCTCTACAGGTTTGGACATTTTTTTTTCATCAATACTACTCTTGCTCCCCATTAAAGATGCTGAACCAAATGCAGGTCAAATGCATTCTAGTTGTCCTTTGGGTATTATATATTTTTTAAATTATACCAACTATAATTAATTGCCCATTATTATCATATTGCCTTCCTTGGATGGCCTCCGTGTGGCCCTTTTAACACAGCCATTGATAGTTCCCAGGAAATAATGTACCTTCACACACAAAAATTAGTAAAACAAATAGTCTATGCTTAGTCACCACCCACACCACCACCTGTGATGGTTAAGAAATTATTTCCCACCACCCTCCTCATAACAAGGGCTTTGGTTATATACTTATTCTCAGGCTGATGTCTGTGTTCAACCCTAACCACAATTCATACATTATTTCTGCTCTGTCCCAAAGACTGCTTCCAGCTGTGAGCAGTTGGGTAAGACCTTGGGAAATGGGAAAGAAAGTACTGAACCTCTTAGCAACTCTAGATTGG